GTGGCCGCTGCGGGGAAGCTGGGGTGCTCCGGCTGGCCATGACAGCGACCTCTTGCCAGCGAGCATACGGAACTAGCAGAGCGTGTGCGTGTGTATGAGCGATGGTGCAGGAAGCGCAGGTGTGTGCAGAGATGGTGCAGGAAGCGCAGGTGCGTGTGTTGGTGCAGGAAGCGCAGGTGCGTGTGATGGAGGAGGCGCAGGTGCGTGTGATGGTGGAGGAGGCGCAGGTGCGTGTGATGGTGGAGGAGGCGCAGGTGTGTGTGATGGTGCGGGGAGCTCGGGTGCGTGAGAGGGTGCGAGAAGCTCGGGTGTTTTTAATGGTGTGTGATGGTGCAGGAAGCCCAGGTGTGTGTGATACTGCAGGGAGCTCGGGTGTGTGTGATGGTGCGGGAGGCTCAGGTGTGTGTGATGGTGTGTGTGATGGTGCGGGAGGCCCGGGTGTGTGTGATGGTGTGTGTGAGGGTGCGGGAGGCTCGGTGTGTGTGAGGGTGTGTGTGAGGGTGCGGGAGGCCCGGGTGTGTGTGTGAGGGTGCGGGAAGCTCAGGTGTGTGTGATGGTGTGTGTGATGGTGTGTGTGATGGTGCGGGAGGCTCGGGTGTGTGTGATGGTGTGTGTGATGGTGCGGGAGGCCCGGGTGTGTGTGATGGTGTGTGTGAGGGTGCGGGAGGCTCGGTGTGTGTGAGGGTGTGTGTGAGGGTGCGGGAGGCCCGGGTGTGTGTGTGAGGGTGCGGGAAGCTCAGGTGTGTGTGATGGTGTGTGTGATGGTGTGTGTGACGGTGCGGGAGGCCCGGGTGTGTGTGAGGGTGTGTGTGATGGTGCGGGAGGCTCGGTGTGTGTGAGGGTGTGTGTGAGGGTGCGGGAGGCCCGGGTGTGTGTGAGGGTGCGGGAGGCTCGGTGTGTGTGAGGGTGTGTGTGAGGGTGCGGGAGGCCCGGGTGTGTGTGAGGGTGCGGGAGGCTCGGTGTGTGTGATGGTGTGTGTGAGGGTGCGGGAGGCTCGGTGTGTGTGATGGTGCGGGAAGCTCAGGTGTGTGTGATGGTGTGTGTGAGGGTGCGGGAGGCCCGGGTGTGTGTGTGAGGGTGCAGGAAGCTCAGGTGTGTGTGATGGTGTGTGTGACGGTGCGGGAGGCCCGGGTGTGTGTGAGGGTGCGGGAGGCCCGGGTGTGTGTGATGGTGTGTGTGATGGTGCGGGAGGCTCGGGTGTGTGTGATGGTGTGTGTGACGGTGCGGGAGGCTCGGTGTGTGTGATGGTGTGTGTGACGGTGCGGGAGGCCCGGGTGTGTGTGAGGGTGTGTGTGAGGGTGCGGGAGGCCCGGGTGCGTGTGATGGTGCGGGAGGCCCGGGTGTGTGTGATGGTGCGGGAAGCTCAGGTGTGTGTGATGGTGTGTGTGAGGGTGCGGGAGGCTCGGTGTGTGTGATGGTGTGTGTGAGGGTGCGGGAGGCCCGGGTGTGTGTGATGGTGTGTGTGATGGTGCAGGAGGCCCGGGTGTGTGTGATGGTGTGTGTGAGGGTGCGGGAGGCCCGGGTGTGTGTGATGGTGCGGGAGGCCCGGGTGTGTGTGATGGTGTGTGTGAGGGTGCGGGAGGCCCGGGTGTGTGTGATGGTGTGTGTGAGGGTGCGGGAGGCTCGGTGTGTGTGAGGGTGTGTGTGAGGGTGCGGGAGGCCCGGGTGTGTGTGATGGTGTGTGTGAGGGTGCGGGAGGCCCGGGTGTGTGTGATGGTGCGGGAAGCTCGGGTGTGTGTGATGGTGTGTGTGATGGTGCGGGAGGCCCGGGTGTGTGTGATGGTGCGGGAAGCTCGGGTGTGTGTGATGGTGTGTGTGATGGTGCGGGAGGCCCGGGTGTGTGTGATGGTGCGGGAAGCTCGGGTGTGTGTGATGGTGTGTGTGAGGGTGCGGGAGGCCCGGGTGTGTGTGATGGTGCGGGAAGCTCGGGTGTGTGTGATGGTGCGGGAGGCCCGGGTGTGTGTGAGGGTGCGGGAGGCCCGGGTGTGTGTGATGGTGCGGGAAGCTCGGGTGTGTGTGATGGTGTGTGTGATGGTGCGAGAGGCTCGGGTGTGTGTGATGGTGTGTGTGATGGTGCGGGAGGCCCGGGTGTGTGTGATGGTGTGTGTGATGGTGCGGGAGGCCCGGGTGTGTGTGAGGGTGCGGGAGGCCCGGGTGTGTGTGATGGTGTGTGTGATGGTGCGGGAGGCTCGGGTGTGTGTGATGGTGTGTGTGATGGTGCGGGAGGCTCGGGTGTGTGTGTGAGGGTGCGGGAGGCTCAGTGTGTGTGAGGGTGCGGGGAGTTCAGGTACGTGTGAGGGTGCGGGGAGTTCAGGCGTGTGTGAGGGTTCAGGGGAGTTCAGGTGTGTGTGATGGTGCAGGAAGCTCGGGTGCGTGTGATGGTGCAGGAAGCTCGGGTGTGTGCAGAGATGGTGTCAGGCTGTAGCTGTGGGTATAAAGGGGAGATAAACTTTGTGGCCTTGGAGGGTGTGGAAAGCAATCAGCGGTGTGGAAATGGCTGCCTCTGACTGTGTGTGTGCATGTGTGTCGCTGTGTGTGTGGCAGGGATTGAACTGTTCACAGAGTTAAGTGTGAGTGTGATCCAGAGGCTGCATGGCTGTGACACAGGGAGTGGCAGGGAGGTGTGCAGCAGGCTGGCTGTGTGGGGTGTGACTACCACTGTCAGCTGTGGTTTCGGGGAGTTCGCTGCCTGGGGGACTGTGTGAGTGTGGGGGCTGGTGTGCCTGGTGGGAATAGCCCGGTGCTGTGTGGCTGTGCGTTCGCTGCGGCTGTCACTGTGGTCGTCAGTCGGACGGTGGGTGATGCAGGCCAGGCTGTGCGTGGAGCGTCGGGCTTGGCTGCCTGAGACTGTGCGTGATGTTGTAGAAATCAGCAAGATTGTGTGCGTGCAGGTTGTGGTTGTCAAATGGCTCTCAGACTTGTGTGATTGTGTTTGATTCTGTGTGGGGCTTGTGTGTGAGCTGTGAGACTAAGGATGGTGTGACACACACATACATACACGTGGAAAGGGACTGACAGATGCACAGACGTGTACATTGGGGGTGATGAGAGTCTGCGGGCGGTAAGACCCTTTGGGGCTACCAGCTGCCCTCCCTGCAGGTCTTGGTATGTGAACAGGAACTGGCGAGCAGGGGCGGGACGGTGGGGCTGCTCGGGGTGGGTGGACAGCGGTTGAGTGAAATGTGTTCGGAAACTGTGGCACTTCCTCTGATTGTCTCCTCAGCCGCCTGTGGCCTGGCACCCACTTGTGGCAGCCCGAGTCTGAGTTCAGGGGCCATTTGCCTCAGGAGCCCATGTTCCCGGCCGGCCAGGCCCGCAAGGGGATGGGGGGTTTGGAGAAAGTGGGGAAGGTGGGGAAGGTCCGTCACCTGGGCGCACGTGTGCAGGAGGAGGGCTGCTGGCAGGACTGGGTGTGGGCCTGTGTCCAGCATAGGGGCCGGGAAACAGCCTGAATGTGAGACGCAAGATTTGGTTGTATATTTTTGCAGGTGAGAAAACTTGTTTCTGTGTGTGTTGTGTGTTGGCTTTTATATCTGAGAGGAAAACACACCAGCGCTTTATTTCTGAGGGGAGTGCATGTGTATGTTTGCCTGAGTTAGTATGTTGTATTTTGAAAGGAAAGAGTGGATGCGTGTGAGTGTGTTTATTGAGTTTTATTTTTTTAGATATATTTTATTGATTTTTTTACAGAGAGGAAGGGAGAAGGATAGAATTAAAAACATCGATGAGAGAGAAACATTGATCAGCCGCCTCTTGCACACCCCCCACCGGGGATGCGCCCGCAACCAAGGCACATGCCCTTGACCGGAATCGAACCCGGGACCTTTCAGTCTGCAGACTGATGCTCTATCCACTGAGCCAAACCGGTTTTGGCTTGAATTTTATTTTTTAGAGGAGGAAGAGTGTGTCCAGAATGTGTTATATTTCTGAGAGGAGAATGTGTCATACTTTGTATTTCTTTTTGTTTATTTTTATTTGTATTGATTTCAGAGAGGAAGGGAGAGAGAAACATCAATGATGAAAGAGGATCACTGATTAACTGCCTCCTACACATCCCCCACCAGGGATCGAACCTGCAACCTGGGCTTGTGCCCTTGACCAGAATCAAGCCGTGACCTCCTGGTTCATAGGTTGACACTTAACCACTGAGTGATGCTGGTGGGGCTGTATTTCTAAGAATCCCTGCGGAGTGTGTGTGGGCGTTGTGTTTCTGAGAGGGGAGTGTGTGTGTGTGTGTGTGGGGGGGCTCCAGCGGCACCACCAGCTGTGCATTGGCCTTGTCCCCCACCTACAACCAGACGAAGCCCCACGTGTCAGGATCTGGGCCTCAGACCCTCAGCTATCACATGGCCAGCGACATCCGTGGGCCACGCCTGTCACATGTGTCCCAACACGCCTTCGGCTGGCTGGGCCTGCCTGCAGTGGAGGGCGGACGCCCTCCGGGTCTGTCGGCTCCTCAGGGCCTGGGAGCCCACCCATGGGGTCCCCCTCGCCGACCCCCACCTAGAGGCACCTCTGCTCCTCACCCCCCGGCCCCCCTGGCCTCGCCTCCCGCCTCGCCTCCCAGCCCAGCCGTCTGACTGGTTCGCAACAAAAACACCCTGAGAATGAGCTCACGGTGAGGCTGCCGCCTCCACACACCCCGCCCCACGCCCAGCCAGGAGGGCGCCTCCCGTCCCGGTCACACGCGGAGGCCGGGCCAGGGGACCGGGGCCGCGGGGGGCTGAGGGCAGCCAGGTGAGCCGGGCCGGTGGGAGGCCACGCGCGGGCATTGCCCTCTCTGGGTCCGTCCTCCGTGGGGTGTTGGCGTTGTGCTCAGCCCCAGGGCAGCAGAGGTAGACTAGAATGTTCCCGGGTGCGGGCTGGCCGGGATGGGTGTGGACCAGGTGCTGGCGGGAAGCAGGCGGGTACGAGGCAGAGGGCTGGCGTCGAGGCTGAGGGCCCGGCCGGCCCGGCCTGGGCTGTGACGCCCCTCTCCTGGCTGCCCCCCAGGAGCAGCCATGTCCGTGCAGGTGGCAGCCCCCGGCGGCGTGGGGCTGGGCCCCGAGCACCTGAGCCCCGAGGAGCTGGTGCGGCAGACGCGGCAGGTGGTGCAGGGGCTGGAGGCCCTCCGGGCGGAGCACCGGGGCCTGGCCGGCCACCTGGCGGAGGCCCTGGCGGGCCCGGGCCCGGGCGCCGGCCCGGAGCTGCTGGAAGAGAAGCAGCAGGTGGTCAGCCACTCGCTGGAAGCCATCGAGCTGGGGCTGGGCGAAGCGCAGGTACGCGGGGTCCAGCTGGCGGGGGGGGGGGGGGGGGGGGGGCTCGGACCTGCGGGGAGGTCCGGGCAGGAGGGTCCACATGTGCAGGGGGTGAAGCCTGGGGCAGGTGAGACCTGGGGGAGCGAGGGTGGAGAAGGGGCTTCTAGGTCAGAGATGGGGTGCCTGGGCCCTTGGGTGAGGGAGCACCCCTGAACCTTCCACAGCACTGTGTTCTGGGGACGCTTGGGGGTCCCTGGGCGGGACGTGCAGCCCGCGGGCATCTGGTGCCTGGGTGAGATCAGAGGGTCACCCGGAGGGCTCTCTGCAGAATCTGGGGGATCCCGGCGGAGGGGGGTGTCTGGCCGGCAGGCCCGGGCCCTGACCCCGCCCCCGCCCCCGCCCCCGCCCCCGCAGGTGCTGCTGGCCCTGTCGGCGCACGTGGGCGCGCTGGAGGCCGAGAAGCAGCGGCTGCGGGCGCAGGCCCGGCGGCTGGCGCAGGAGAACGCGTGGCTGCGGGAGCAGCTGCAGGAGACGCAGCAGCGGCTGCGGGCCAGCGAGGAGGCCGTGGTGCAGCTGGAGGAGGAGAAGGGGCACCTGGAGTTCCTGGGGCAGCTGCGCCGGCATGACCCGCCGGCCGGCAGCCAGGTGGGGCCGGCCCCCCGTCCCCATGCAGCCCGGTGTCCTGGGCCCTCACCAGGCCCTCAGGGTGTCCCGGCCCCGCCGCCCGCACCCCTGGGGTTCAGTTCTGAATCTAAAACTAGATCCCAGCCCTGTGACCCCCTTCCCTGTCCTCTCCACAGCAGCCCGAGTCCCCCCACCGCCGAGACAGCCTGGGCTCCCTGTTCCCCAGCGAGGAGGAGGCGAGGAGAGGTGGGCGTGGGGTCCACGGACTGGGAGCTCAGCCATGGCGGACGGGAGGCTGGGCGGGGAGGGCTGCTGGACCCCAGGCCTCTGACCAGGGTGGGGGCCAGGCAGGGGGTCAGGAGGACAGAGCAGGAGGCTGGGGGGTGACTGTGGGGGTGAGGCTGGCTGGGCGCTGAGACCAGGCAGGCAGGAGCCCGTGTTCACATCCCAGGGGCCTGGGACCCCGACCCCAGAAGGCAGTGCAGGCCCCATGGCCCCGGGGGCGGGGGGGCAGCTGCAGCCCTGGGGGTGGGGGGACAGCTGTAGCCCCGGGGGCGGGGGGGCAGCTGCAGCCCTGGGGGTGGGGGCGTGCCCCTCGTGGGAGGCTGAGGGGACAGGAGGCCTGAGAAATGAGGTACCGGCCCCCCAGGGCCGGAGGCGGCGGGGGCCGCGGCGGCCCAGCAGGGCGGCTACGAGATCCCGGCCCGGCTGCGGACCCTGCACAACCTGGTGATCCAGTACGCGGGCCAGGGCCGCTACGAGGTGGCCGTGCCACTGTGCCGCCAGGCGCTGGAGGACCTGGAGCGGAGCTCCGGCCACTGCCACCCCGACGTGGCCACCATGCTCAACATCCTGGCGCTGGTGTACCGGTGAGCGCCGGCTGTGCCGGGGAGCAGGGGGGACCGGGCCGGCGTGGGGCACGGCAGTGGGGACGGGGACAGAGACCTGGGAGGCCCGCGGACCCAGGCAGAGGAGTGAGTGTGGGTGACAGTGGGGGCGGCTCCTGGGGTGGCCAGAGGCTGGGCAGTGCTCTGGAGGAGCTAGACTTGGTGTGGGGAGACCTGGAAGGGACCCCCAAAGGGTGCCACTTCAGCCTGGCCCCTGGGACCCCAGCCTGGCTGACCCTCCATCCTGACGCTGCCCCACAGGGACCAGAACAAGTACAAGGAGGCCACGGACCTCCTCCAGGATGCCCTGCAGATCCGGGAGCAGACGCTGGGTCCCGAGCACCCCGCGGTGAGTAGGGTCGGAGGGAGGGAGGGCCGGGCTGTGCCTTCCTCCTCCTGACCTGCCTCCTGGTCCCGCAGGTGGCGGCCACGCTGAACAACCTGGCCGTCCTGTACGGGAAGCGCGGGCGGTACCGGGAGGCGGAGCCCCTGTGCCAGCGCGCCCTGGAGATCCGCGAGAAGGTGCGCCCCGCCCGGCCCGAGGGCCCTCCCATCTGATCCTGAAACGTCCGGTTCTGGTGCTCCGTGACCCCAACTTTTTAGGCCTTCTCCCCGGGTGTTGTGAGCCTAGAGCACCATTTCCAGGAGCCACAGTAATTGACCTGCCCTGACCTCCATTTGACCTTGACCTCTCCTAACTCACCTCATCCGCCCCAACCTGGTACAACCCCCTCCTTGATGTAATCATTTGCATCCCAAGGTCAAAGGTGGTTTCTGGACCACCGTGACCTCTGACCTGACGAGGCTCCAGTTTGGTGTAACTTCTGCCCAACCCCATGCAATTCTCCACTTTGACCCTGTGACCCCCAGCTCGTGGCCGGTGACGGCCATCGTGCAGCCTCCGATCCCGATGACCCCTAGGTGCTGGGCGCCGACCACCCGGACGTGGCCAAGCAGCTCAACAACCTGGCGCTGCTGTGCCAGAACCAGGGCAAGTTCGAGGAGGTGGAGCGGCACTACGCCCGGGCCCTGGCCATCTACGAGGCCCTGGGCGGGCCCCACGACCCCAACGTGGCCAAGACCAAGAACAACCTGGTGAGGCCGCACCCCGGCCTCGGGTGGGACGCGGAGGCCAGGAGCCCCCTGTGCCAGGCCCTGCCTGGGGAGACCGCGGGAGCGGCAGGAAGCGCAGGTGCCGGGGGCCAGGGGGCGGCCCAGGGAAAGGAGCCGGAGATGCAGGGAGGGGATGCAGCCTCAGGCGTTCATTGAGCTCTAGATCCTCTCAGTGCCTTCCCTGTACCGTCCATCCGTTGCTGTTGGTTAACCTTCACCTGAGGACATTTTTCCATTGATTTTTTTGATTTTTATTTAGAGAGCGCAAAGGAGGAAGGGCACGGGGAAAAGATCAGTGTGAGAGACTTGGACTGGTTGCCTCCTGGGACTAGGGATCAAATCTGCACCACAAGCACGTGCCCTTCACCGAGAACCGAACCCGGGACCTTTGGGTGCGCGGCCTGGCGCTCTAACCACTGAGCTCACCAGCCAGGGCCAGACCACCCATTTCTCAAAGGACCCTGGGCGGTAGGTGTTCTGTGGCCCCCGTCTTGCAGATGAGGAAACAGAGGCACAAAGTAGAGCAGGGACAGGCTGAGCCGGGAAGCCCCCTGCCCGGGTCCCCGAGGCAGGAAGTGGCGGGGCTGTGGGCGAGGCCCGTGGGGGGGGGGGAGCTCCGCCGTGAGCTCAGCCGGCCCCGCCCCCGCAGGCCTCAGCCTACCTGAAACAGAACAAGTTCCAGCAGGCGGAGGAGCTGTACAAAGAAATCCTCAGCACGGAGGGCCTGCCCGCCCCGCTCGGTGAGCCCCCGGCCCTCCTGCCCCCCCCCCCCGGGCCTTCTCGGCGCCCCCACCACAACGCCCCGTCTGTCCCCCAGGGGCCCCCAGCACAGGCAGAGCTGGTGACGCGGAAGGACAGGTGAGGCCGGCTGTGCCTCCGCTCCCGGTGGGGGGGCTGACGGGAAGGGGGGCTGACGTGTGCCGGGCGCTCGCCCCCCAGACCCTTCGCCGCCGCAGCAGCTCCTTCTCCAAACTCCGGGAGTCCATCCGGCGCGGCAGCGAGAAGCTGGTCTCCCGCCTCAGAGGCGAGGGGGCGGCGGGAGCAGCCGGGTGAGTGCTGGATCAGGTCAGTGACGAGCCTCGTCCTGCTCAGGAACCTTCCGTGGCTCCCACCTCCCCTGTGACAGTCAAACCCGGTGCTGGACAGGTCCTCCCAGGGCGGGAGCCAGGCCTCCCGCACTCACTGGCTCCCTCTGCAGGATGAAGAGAGCGGTGTCCCTGAGCACGCTGCACGTGGGTGCTGCCAGGGCTCCCGGGGCCCAGGTGAGGGGGGCAGGGCACCTGGTCAAGGAGGGGGGGGGGGGGGGGGGCATCTGACAGGCCAGGGGCGGGAGGACACAGGCTGGTGGGTGGGAATAGACCAGAGGACAGAATGGATGATGGCTTTACTTGGGGTCAGGTAGGGGAAGGACATAAGGCGCTGGAGAATGACAATATAGCCGCTGCAGTGGACAGCCGGCAGGCAGTGGACAGCCGGCAGGCAAGGGGGTCTAGTGCAGCTGGACCAGGTGTCTGGCCCTCGCCCACCCTCAGCACCCCTGTGCCTTCCCCAGTTCCCCCACCGGCACCTGAGTGAGGCCTCTCGGACCCTCAGCGTCAGCACCCAGGACCTGGGCCCCCGCTGAAGTCCACAGGACGCGCGCCTGCAGCTCCCTCGAGGGGGGGGGGTCCTTTCACCCCCTGCCTGGCGCCCCACCCCCTGGGACACCCCGTGTATGGGCTGCCCTCTCCTCTGCTATTAAAGGCTGTCGATCTGGCCGCCAGGAACGTCTGCGTGAGGTCTCCTTCCTGCACAGACGGTCCTGTGCCTCCAGAGGCCCCGCCGAGCCCCTGGGACGCGGGGCCAGGGAACACGCGAGTGGCCAGGAACGCCTTCCGTGGCCCGGCCCCACCTTCGCTACAGCTGCTGGGCGATCTGCTCGATCCTCCGCAGCGTCTCCTCGGACTGCAGCTGCTCCAGGCTCAGCAGGGACAGGCCCAGCTGGTCCTCCTGCGGGCGCGGGCGGGAGGGTGAGGCCGGGCTGGGACAGGGCTGCACCTCCCCACGCGCCCACGAGGAGACGGGAGGGCCGCGGGGCTCCGGGACAGCGTGCTGGAATCTGGAAACAGCCCTCGGTGCAGAGCCTACTATCCCGGCAAACGGCACAGGCCGGAGGAGGTGGCGGCCAGGCGGCCGGGCCCAGGCGGGGGCTCCGCCTGCTGCTCACCCCAGTTCTCTCGCCCTCCTCCTTGGGGCTCACGCACCAGCTCGTCTACCATAGACACACGCCGGCGTCTGTGGCCCTGGCCTCCCACCAGTTCCCAGGCTGGCGTGTGGGGCGCACACAAGCCTCCCTTTGTCCCGGGCGGGCTGGGAGGGCGTGGGCGCTGCGGGAAGCGGGGCGGGCCCTGGCTCACCCTGTGGAACGGCTGCGCCATCTGCCTCAGGAAGTACTTGGCCACCTGGACGCCCTCGTCCACCGTCAGGTTGAGGTTGGCGTCGGTGAGGTGCTCCTGGATCCAGCGGGGCAGCTTCCCGCGCTTGTCGGCCCGGGCGAACCGCTGTGAGAGGCGGCGGGAGGGAAGGGGTCAGGACCCGGCGGGGCTGGGCTACCCTGCGGCCGCCCGCCCCATCGGGACGGCGCGGCGCGGGGAGCAGCCGGCCGGCCGGGCGGCCCCGCCCCACCTTGTCGGCGAAGACCATGAGGCCGTAGTCCGTCTTGCCCCTGATGGCCCGGCCCACGCACTGGGCTGCGTGGCGCATGGCGTCGAAGGTGAGGAAGTCGTTCTCTCGGATCTGGAACTGGTCCCGCAGGTACTCCAGCCGCGCCTGGGGGAGGGGAAGGGAGGGGGGAGGTGGGGCCCTCACGCCTGCCCCTGGGCATCAGCCCCTGCCCCGTGCCCATCCTGGGGGAGCACGCAGAGGCCCTAACCCCCCGCCACCCCGCGAGGCTCACCTTGAGGATGCGGCTCTGCGTGTACACGTAGGGGACGCCGAACATGATGACGGCCCGCCCGAAGTGGTGCACTGTGGGCGGCAGCCAGGCGTCACCCCGAGACCGGGAGAGCCCCCTCATGCAGCCCGGAGAGGGAGGAGAGGGGGCGCTCCAGGGCCCCACCCGCACCCGGGGACGGAGGGAAGGGGAGCAGGAACGGCCAGAGCGCCAGGGAGGCTGCAGTGAGGAGGAGAGCCCAGTCCACTCACCGAAGTCGATTCCCTCGGACACTTTGCCTCGAGCCACTGAGAGCAGGATGGCCCCGCGGCCGTTCTCGCAGGCCTGCGGGGGGGGGGGGGGGGAGGTAAGACAGGGGTGCGGCCCTCAGAGCTTTCAGCTCCCCCCCCCCCCCAGCCGCTTTCCGCTCCCCTCCCCGTCCCAGCCTCACCTCCTGGTACTTCTCCAGGGCAACGCTGGTCTCTGCCCCGTCTTGGGTCTCAATGAAGAGCAGCTTGTTCCTCTGGATGTTCTCGAGGATGCCCTGCAGGACAGGCGGTCAGTGTGGCCGCTCTGTGTCCTTCCTGAGCTCAGCCCTGCCCGGGCTTTCCGTCTCTCCCCCCTCCCCCCGAGACCCCCCCGGAGGGCGGCACCGCAGCCTCCTTGCAGGAAGCCTGTGATCCTGGCCGGGAGCCGTCCCCACACCCGACTTGGAACCATGGGGCAGGCGTGTGGCCCAGCCAGCCGGCCGGGACCTCCCCGCCCAGCGCTGCCTGGAGACAAGATTTCATATGTGACACCGTCAGAGAGAATGTGGCCAGGACGGACACAGAGACAATGGGACAGGACCCCTCACAGATGGTCCCTGGGACCCTCCTCAGCGAGGAGGAGCCGGAGCAGCCGGATTTCCATTTGGGAAAACGGCGCCTTGGCCCGGCCTCACGCTGAGAGGGGCAGGGGTGCCCGCAGACTCGTGAAAGCTAAAGCCACGGCTTTCTTAGGGGACACGGGACTGCGGCTCCCGGCAGGCAAAGGTGTCTCACAGGACACAGCGGCCTCAGGATGTGGGGCCAGCAGCCCCTCCCCGGGTGGAAAGAGCCGGAGGACAGAACCAAGGTCCTGGCCATGAGAGGGTGAGCCCCCCCCCCCCCACTCCCTGGAGTGGGGATTAAGGCCATCGTCTCACCCCGCTGAGAGCAGCCCTGCCCTCCTGCATCCTGCGCCCCAGGTCCGGCCCCTTTCCAGAATGCCGTGACCTGCCCACACGCCCGGTGCACTCCCTGCCCGAGTGTCTGTCCAGCCTTAGTTCTCCAGAACCTTCCTCTTACAGCACAGCACCCAGCGAGTCTCGGCTGCTACCAGGTCACGCCATACGCGCTGGGGGGCACAGGCATGGTGTCACCCCAAAAGGAGCAGCACGAGAACCAGGAACAGGGAGGCAGGGCGGCCTTTGAGGGCCCAAAGGCTGTGGTGTTGGTTCTTAGCCTGGAGGGGGGAGGGCCTCGGGTACCCACTATTGGTTCTTTAAACTATTTCTGTGTCCTGTGTCTCTCCTGCACCTGACACAGCCGGGCAGAGAGCCAAACCCGAGGAGCCAGGGCCTTCCCGGGAGTGGGCAGAGGGGCGGTGGGCGTACCTGCTCGTACCAGGAGGCCACGGTGCTCTCCATGTACTGGTAGCTGGTGAAGAAGGCCACGATGCCGTCGGGGACCACGGCGGACATCTCCAGCAGGAGGTTCCCATAGTTCCGGATCACCGCTGCGGGGGTCAGAGGTTACCCCTCCGCTGGCCTGGGTCCCCTCCCCCTCCCTATCAGCATGCCTGCCTAATGCCTGGCCTGGGTCCCCTCCCCCTCCCTATCAGCATGCCTGTCTATCGCCTGGCCTGGGTCCCCTCCCCCTCCCTATCAGCATGCCTGCCTAACGCCTGGCCTGGGTCCCCTCCCCGTCCCTATCAGCATGCCTGCCTAACGCCTGGTCTTGACCTTGGGGCTCACAGAAGAGCCTCTGTAGGGCTGTTCACACTCCACTTCTTGCAGGCAGGTGGGAGCACAGCACCACCGTCCCCGAAGTTGGCCTGGCCTGTGACTGCCATGGCCATGGAAAGGAGGGAAGAGCCGTGTGCCGCTCCCAGGCGGGCAACTCTGTAGCCAGTGTGCCACTCACCCCGATCGCCACAATCCCTCGTCACGTCTCACCACGGACGTGACGTGCCCAGAGGCGGAGGCTCCCAGAGGCGACCCTGGGCGGCCCCCAGCAATCCCCAGTGCACGGGCCCGGGGCCAGGAGCAGCCTCTATGTGAAGCCACTCGGGCCGGGGAGTGTTTGTTACCGCAGCAAGACAGGCCACACTGACTGCTACCCCCCCCCCCGGAACCCAACCAGCCGGCCACCAGCTCCCGCGGGGGCGTACCGATGTCTTCCCGGGTCTCGAATTTGGAGCTGATGGCCACCTGGTCGTTGCCACGGCCGATGATCTGAGGAGCGGGAGAGTCATAATAAGCGAAGCAGCCGCAACCACCCTGGCGTGGGGTCTGGTTGCAGCCAGTGCTGTCCTAAGCCTTTACAGACACGGTGTCATTGGCTCGGCTAGCGTTACCAGTGCTGCACAAAGTCACCGAAGGCGCAGAAAAGGTGAGCCGCCTGCCGAGGCCACGCGGCAAACAAGCAGCAGAGACGGAGCTGAACCCACGTCTGCCCGCGCTCCCAGCCAGCGCGCACGCGCCAGCCGGGCGGCTCCGGGAGAACGCTTCTCACCGTGACCTTGACCGCCACTGGCGCACCCCTGGCCCTCACGAAACCGTGCTGCCTGCATGGCCGGCCCGGGAAAAACAATTCCCACCGCCCAGCACTCCGGGAGCCCAGACACTGGAGTCTGCACAGACAGAGAAGCGGAACCTGCCCAGCCAGATCCAAAGTCCTGACTGATCTCCCTTTTTGACTCTTTAAAATGTTTCACTGCTCGCCGGGACCGGTTTGGCTCAATGGATAGAGCGTCGGCTTGGGGACTGAAGGGTCCCAGGGTTCGATTCCGGTCAAGGGCATGTACCTTGGTTGCGGGCATATCCCCAGTAGGGGGTGTGCAAGAGGCAGCTGATCGATGACTCTCTCTCATCGATGTTTCTATCTCTCTCCCTTCCTCTCTGTATAAAATCAATAAAATATATTCAAAAAATAAAAATAAAAATAAAATGTTTCACTGCCCAGCTGATATGGCTCAGTAGACTGAGCATCGTCCCATGCACCCAGAGCTCACCGGTTCGATTCCTGATCAGGGCACATGCTCTGGTTGTGGGCTTTGTCCCCAGTAGGGGGCAATTGGGAGGCAGCCGATCTATGTTTATCTCTCATCAGTGTTTCTCTCTCTCTCCCCTCCTCTCTCTCTTAAAAACAATAAAAACATTTTTTAAAATAAAATATTTCATTGCTGAAATAATCATGACTGACCAGAGGGTGCTGCTCAGGCCTGTGGGTCTGACACAGCACAGATCTTGTTTCTAAAGTCGGGGAAATTCTCAATTCTCAAACACCCCCGGCCCAAGAGCTTCAGCTGAAGGACCCGGGGTTCGTGCTGTGATGCCGTTTACAGAGGGGACGACTCAGAGCAGAAGGGTCACTTGCCAAGGTCACAGCCAGACAATGAACCAGGCAAAACCATGTTAACCAAGAACCCGGCCCTGGGCCACATTTTACACCCACAGCTCCCTCTCCCCTCCGCCGCCTTGGGAGATCAGAGGAGGCATGCCCATTTCACAGATGAGAAAGCTGAGACTGGGAGAGCATGCCCGCAGGGAGTGCCCGGGTCTGTCTGCACCCAGACTCTGTGCCCTGAGCTGCAAAGCTCTCCTGTCTGATCAGTGGAGGGAGCAGACCGAGGAAAGACAGCCACTCGCTTCCATCTTCCCACCCGTCACCCACCCCTCTCCCAGTACCATGGGGCAGAGGCAGACTCGGGCCAGTGTCATGGTGAAGGTTGCCATGGTGACAGGGTGGAAGTCCAGGATCTTGGGGTAGATGTCCAGTGGGGACAGCGTCTGTAGTGGGAACGACAGGAGGGATCTTAGCAGGACTGGGCAGAACCAGGAGCCCCCGAGGGGAGTGGGGGGGACAGAGGAGGCCCTCACCCCAGATGTGATGATGACAGACTGGAAGCGCTCGAAGACGGGTTTGATGGCCAGCGAGGCGTCCATGCAGCTGTGGGAAGCAGACGAGGGTGGTGAAGGCCAGGCCGGGGGCGGGGCCCAGGGTCCACTCGTACCCTCTGGGCTTGGGGCTCACCTGAAGTGCAGGATGGGGTTGGCAATGGTCGGGGTCCTGTCATCAAAGGGCTCGATGATGATGGTGAAACCTGCAGGAGGCGGTGAGAGTGCTGGGTGCCAGGGATGACCACGCCCACTCGCCAGTCCCCACGCCCATGGTGAATGGACCAGCCACCTGCAGCCCAGGCACCTGAGTCCAAACACACCCAGCCTGCCGCTGTGCTCAGAACCAACACCTGCAGGCAGGGGGTCCTCCCCCTCAGGCTCTTCCCCTCGCCTCCGTCTGACCATCAGGAGGCTGGCAGCCCTGCTCCAATGTCCATCTGCCATCTGACCCCCTTGGTCCCCACCAGTCCTCCCTGAACCCCGGTAGTCGCCTCCCTCGCCAGGCTCACAGGTCCCACCCGTTGTGCTGGGGACACAGCAGAGACCAGGACAGCTCCGGCCCTGCCCTCTCAGGGCTCACAGCTCAGTGACGGGGACACAGACCTGTCCCCAGACAATGACCCCCCGAGAGGCAGCACTGGGACGGAAGAGCCCCGAAGAGGAGGCCGGCCCAGCCTGGAAGGCAGAGGGCTTCACGGAGAAAGGACATCCTGCTGAGCCGGGATCGAAAGGAGGAGGTGGTGGCTGGGGCTGAGGAGGAGGGGGAGGGTATTCCAGGGAAAAGAAAGTGAGGTGGTGCCTGGCCAGTGTGGCTCAGTGGTTGAGCACTGATCCATGAACCAGAAGGACAAGGTTCAATTCCCAGTCAGGGTTTTGCCCCCGTAGGGGGCATGCAGAGGCAGCTAATCAATGATTCTCTCTCATCACTGATATTTCCATCCCTTTCTCCCCCTTCCTTCCTCTCTGAAATCAGTAAAGAACAAACAAAAGCAGCACGTATTAAGAAAGGGAGGTGTAGCCGGGACCGGTTTGGCTCAATGGATAGAGCGTCGGCTTGGGGACTGAAGGGTCCCGGGCTCGATTCCAGTCAAGGGCATGTACCTTGGTTGCGGGCATATCCCCAGTAGGGGGTGTGCAAGAGGCAGCTGATCGATGACTCTCTCTCATCGATGTTTCTAACTCTATCTCTCTCCCTTCCTCTCTGTACAAAATCAATAAAATATATTAAAAAAAAAAAAAAAAAAAAAAAGAAAAAGAAAGGGAGGTGTAGCCAAGACGGGTTTGGTTCAGTGGATAGAGCGTCGGTCTGCGGACTGAAGGGTCCCGGGTTCGATTCCAGTCAAGGGCATGTACGTTGGTTGCGGGCACACCCCCAGTGGGGGGTGTGCAGGAGGCAGCTGGTCGATGTTTCTCATCGATGTTTCTAGCTTTCTATCCTTCTCCCTTCCTCTCTGTAAAAAATCAATAAAATATATAATACATACATATATATATATATATATATATATATATATATATTAAAAGAAGTGAGGTGTAGCTGAAACCGGTTTGGCTCAGTGGATAGAGCGTCGGTTTGCGGACTGGAAGGTCTCAGGTTCGATTCCGATCAAGGGCATGTGCATTAGTTGCGGGCACATCCCCAGTAGGGAGTGTGCAGGAGGCAGCTGATGGATGACTCTCTCTCATCGATGTTTCTGACTCTCTCTCTCTCTCCCTTCCTCTCTGTACAAAATCAATAAAATATATTTAAAAAAGAAAAGAAAAGAAGTGAGGGGTTGGCAGATGGGGAGGAGAGGGGGAAGGCAGCGGGGAAGCCAGCATGGCACAGAGGAAGGGACGCAGAAGGAATCTCTCAGTGGGATCGCTTCCGATGGGCCCTGGGTGGGGACGGGCTTTTGTCCTCCACAGGCCGGGCCGGGCCGGCCGGCAGCCTGACCTGGTTTCCCGGGCAGGAGTGATCCCCGGGGCCAGCCTGAGCCTGGGCCGGTTTAACGTGGAGGGAGGGAGGGAGGGACGCTGACCGACCAAGGCGAGCGCCTCCGGAGCACTTCCTCCTCAGCTCCTCCCCCGTGCTGCCCACACCCGGGCGCCAAGTCAGTCCTGGCCTCCTTCCCCCCTCCCCCCCAACCCTCCTCATCTATCCTGCCCAGTCCCTCGGGAAAAACATTTCTAAACTGCACACTGCCCCTGCCCCTCCCTTGCGCAGAATCTGCCATGGCCCCCAGTGCCAACAGGAACACAACAACCAGGTCCTGCCCTGGCCGGTGTGGCTCAGTGGATAGAGCGTAAGCCTGTGGACTGATGGGTCCTGGGTTCAATTCGTCAGGGGCACATGCCCAGATTGCGGGCTCCATCCCCAGCAGGGGGCGTGCAGGAGGCAGCCCATCAATGGTTCCCATCCCATCGACACTCCCCCACTTCTCCAGGCTGCAGCGGAAGGGGGGAGCCTCTGAAAGCACAGAGCCGAGCATGAGGCTCGCTCACTCAGCACTGCCGGTGGCTCCCCAGTGCCTCAAAGCCCAACTCTACAAGCTCCCGAGGGTCCAAGTCCCACAGACAACCCCCAGCTCCACTGGGACCCGGGTTCCGGCTGCCAGGGGCCCGGCGGGCAGGGGCGCACCCACCCTTGGCGTAGGTGCTGACCAGGGTGGCGAAGTTGGCCAGCAGCGTGAGCGGGGAGAAGTCGGCCAGGTCGGCGATCTCCAGGGTGTGCAGGAGGGAGCGGAGGCGTTCGGCGCAGAACCTGGTGGGGAGGCCAGAGGGGGAGGAGGTGGCGGAAGGACAGTCAGGACTCCTCCGCGGCCAGAATTCCCATCTCCGCGGGGATGGGACACGGGCACAGAGAAATGAGCACACACCCAGTCATGGGGTCCCGCGTCACACCTGGGCACACAATCTTACACGCAGGTTCTCAGTCAAAGTCGGAGACCCATAGCCACACCCAGAATCCCAGCCACGTGAATCCTGCTCGGCCACACGTCACACACGTGTACCCAGAACCTCACCCCGTCTCTGTCACACTCGGCCACGCTGCTGACACACGGCGGCATCAGAGTCCCAGCGCTCACACACACTCGCAGTCTCACGTACGCTGTCACACTGACAACCGGGCCTCAGGCTCTCTCCCTTGGGGACAGGCAGGTCACGGAGCAGGACCGCCTGGCTCCAGGGTTTGGAACCTGCTCCTGACTGTCATTTCTTCAAGTCTGCACCCCCTCCCGCCCCAACTCCCGGCTGGATCGGGTGCGCCCCGCCCAGGCTCTCCATCCCGGCCCAGTTTCTGTCTGGAGACGGTGTGTCGCCCACTAAGACGGTGAGCCCGGGGGGCAGGGCCAGCGCTGTCTCTGTCACCACTGTGTCCTCAGCACAAAACAGGTCTCGGGAACATGGGGGGGGGGGGTGCTGGGACCCCATCTCTGCCCTCACAAGCCTCCCCTCTGGGGGGAGCAGGCAAGGCCACACCAAGGGCTGCCCGGTCCCTGAGAGGCAGAGCAGCCGGGGTCTCGGCACCCCCAGGCCTGGCTTCGGAGCCCTGCCTTCCTGCCAGATCCGTTCTCGCCCTCAGGCTGGGGGTGGGGGACAGTGAGAGGCACCGGAGGCGCCCAAGGGGCCTAGGGCCTTTCCTCCAAGCCCCCACCTGCTGGGTGGTGTCAGGAGCCCCTCCTCGGGGCCTCGGGTGGAACTACCCCTTAGCTCTCCCGGGTGCCCTGCTGGCTCCTCGCCCGGCCCACCCTCTGCACACAGTGTCCCCACCCAACGCCTCAGGTAAATCCTCTGATCAGGCCAGAGCGGCCGGCCCAACACAGGAACCCGGGACCAGCTCCGACCTCGCCCTGGGACCCGCCTGCTCACCCCGACAGGTGCTCCCTCGCCCCTCCTCCCTTACATGCCTGACACGGGCTACAGGGAGACCCCAGGCCGCAGTGCGGAGGACAGGGCTGCGGGCGGGACCCGCCCCGCCCCGCCCCCGCGGGCCGCACCTGAGGGGCTTGCGCTGGATGCACACGCGCTGGGCCAGGCCGCTCAGGAAGGCGGGGGGGCTCTCCTGCACCACGTGCTGCACGCGCAGCCGCCACTTGACGAACTCCAGCAGCCGCCGCAGGAAGCCCAGGAAGTGCTCGGCCGTGCGGATGGAGCCCGGCACCGCCTCTGCGGGCACAGGGGACGGGGTCAGCGCCGCCCGCGGGGAGGGCGCGGGGAGCGCCCAGCGGGCGGGCGGGCGGGCGGCAGCTCACCCTGCAGCACCTCGTCGGGCAGCACCGGGTTGGCCAGGTGGGCGTCGGTCTCCCGGGCGACGCTGGCCTCCCGCAGCCCCTCCACCAGGCGGCGGTACTCGTCTCGCAGGCGCTGCTCGTCCGTCTCCTTGATCCTGCGGGGAGACGGGGGTAGGGAGAGGGCTGGCGTCCCCGGGGCAGGTCAGGAGGGGCCGGAGGGCAGGGGCAAGGCGGGCACAGGGTCCCCCACCTGAGCACTGTCTTCTGCAGGGTCTCCAGGTTGCCCTGGCACCTGTCCAGGGTCCGGCGGGTGAGGTTGACACTCATGGAGTCGATGCAGACATTGTCTGGGGGGGAGAGGGGGAGGCCGGCTCAGGCGGGCAGAGGCTGGGTGGCACCGGAGGGGCTGGCATCCCCTCCCCGGCGCCCGCCTCACCAATGTTGTGGGCCTCGTCGAAGACCACCACGGCCTTGCGGGCCAGCTCCTTGGACACCAGGTCTGCGATCTTGGGGTCCAGGAGGTAGTGGTAGCTGTAAACCACCACGTTGGCATGCAGGATCTGAGGGGGGAGAGGGGGGCGGGGAGGGAGGGTTACGCCAAGCCTGCCTGCCACCCCAATCCCTGAACCAGGCTACCTCCCCCCCACCCACACTACACGCCACTTCCTCGCAGGCCCAGAGGCCAGGCGGGGACAGGCAAACAGGCCAGGCACAACAATAAGCCAGCTGGCAGAGACAGACAGAGGCCCAGACGCACAGGGAGATACAGGCAGGCAGACAGGCAGTCAGACGGGCAGGCAGCCTGCAATCCTCACACATGGCCTCTGCCCACCCCTGCCAGTCTCCTCACCGAGTACCGGGCAAGGAAGTAGGGGCACCAGCCCTGGCGCCGCCCCACGGCCTTCAGGTCATCCAGGTTGTAGATGCCAGCGGGAAGGGGCACCTGGCGCCCGTGGATGTCAAACTCCTGGGGCAGAGCGAGAGGGGGCCGGGGGTCAGAGGGGACCCGCACAGGCTGCTGCCCGCCCGCCCTCCGCCCCGTCCCGTCCCGGCGGGCACCTCGTAAAAGCGACAGTGCGGCAGGCTGGCGTCCCGCTGGTGCTGCGCCCGCACGTAGGAGGCCGTGAGGCTGTGGCATTTCCCGTCCACATCCTTCCCAAAGCGCAGGGGAGTCACCTGGGGGGCAGGGCGGGTGTGCACCTCAGCACCGACACAGGCCGAGGAGCCGGCCACTCTGGGGACCTGGCCTCCCCACCTCACCCCTGGGTGGGAAGCTGCTCTCTCGAGGGTGGAGCGAGGGGATTTGTGGAAAACTCAAACCTCAACCTGTTTCAATAATAAACAGTTAAGACTCTTGGGAACTTACTGCAGGGGTGAGAGAACGGCAAACTGTTACTCTGAAGTTATTACTCTGGAAACAGTAAGCCCTATATGCAATGGACAAGGAGACATAGTGACAGTGAGGGTGGGCCTTCAGGCCATTACGCTAAGTGAATAAGTCACTCAGATGACCTCACTTATGTAGAGAATCTAAAAAAAAAAAAAAAGAAAGAAAAAAGAAATAACCAAGCTCATAGATAGAGAGATTGGTGCTGCCAGAGGTGGGCTTGGGATGGGCGAAATGGGCGAAAGTGGTCAAAAGGTACAAACTCGCCGGGACTGGTTTGGCTCAGTGGATAGAGCGTCGGCCTGCGGATTGAAAGGTCCCGGGTTCGATTCCGGTCAAGGGCATGTACCTTGGTTGCGGGCACATCCCCAGTAGGGGGTGTGCAAGAGGCAGCTAGTCGATGATTCTCTCTCATCAATGTTTCTAACTCTATCCCTCTCTCTTCCTCTGTGAAAAATCAATAAAATATATATTAAAAAAAAAAAAAGGTACAAACTCCCAGTTAAAAAAAAAAAGTCCAGAGGACGCACAGCATGTGACTACAGTTTATACTATATGCATACTTGAAAGTTGTCAAGAGAATAGATCTTAAAAGTTCACATCAGCCAAAACCGGTTTGGCTCAGTGGATAGAGCGTCGGCCTGCGGATTGAAAGGTCCCGGGTTCGATTCCGGTCAAGGGCATGTACCTTGGTTTCGGGCACATCCCCAGTGGGGGGTGTGCAAGAGGCAGCTGATTGATGACTCTGACTCTCTCTCATCGATGTTTCTAACTCTCTCTCTCCCTTCCTCTCTGTACAAAATCAATAAAATATATTAAAAAAAAAAAAAAAGTTCACATCAGACACAAAAAATTATAATATGTAAGGTGATGGACAGAAACTGGACTTATTGCAGTAATCATTCCGAGATGTATACAAATATCAAATCATTATGTTGTACACCCAAAATGAGTGTGTCCATTAGACCTAAAAAAGCAAACACGCACACCACTAAGCCTTGGAGATTCTTTAGTGTGTAGATTAAGGGTGACTGCTCCATCTTTTAAAGTGCGAACAACCAGGGCCTTGACAGGTCTTAGAATTCGAAGAGGGTCTGGTCACACAGCCTGACAGACTGCTGTGCTCCGCCCGGCTCTGTGCCCTCCGAGCCTCTGCCAGGGCTGCCTCTGCCCAACACAGAACCTCCCTCACCAACAGGAAGGTCTGAGGCTGCTGACCTGCCCTCCCGATTTCCCTCATCAGCCGCCCCGGCCTGGGCTGCTTTCTCTATTATTTCTGACATATTCTTACCAATAATTTCACAGAATATCTATTCCACGAGTTACACGTAAAATGCTGAGAACAATTTCTGGTGCAGTGAGCTCTGTGCCTTTATAACATAATTAAATAAAAATGAATATTCTATGTGTCATATATGTATTAATATCATGAAAATTTCTCATATTCTTCCTGCTCTTTGTATAATACATGCTGACTATACATACCTCATCTCACCCAATCTTATCAACTGTTTGAAACAGGTACTTATTTATACTTATTTAACACAAAGGAAAAACTGAGGCCCAGACTCCAGGAATCACCTATGCTAAAGTACACAACTGCCTAGCCGGTGTGGCTCAGTGGTTGCACATTGACCCATGAAGCAGGGGGTCACGGTTCAATTCCCTGTTAGGGCACATGCCCAGGTTGTGGGCTCAATCCCCAGTGTGGGAATGCAGGAGGCAGACGATCAATGATTCTCATCTTGATGTATCTCTCTCTCTCTCTCTCTCTCTCTTTCCTTTCCTCTCTGAAATCAATAAAAATATATTTTTTAAAAATTCACACAACTAGCCGAAACCGGTTTGGCTCAGTGGATAGAGCGTGGGCCTCCGGACTGAAAGGTCCCAGGTTCGATTCCAGTCAAGGGCATGTACCTTGGTTGCAGGCACATTCCCAGTGTGGGGTATGCAAGAGGCAGCTGATCGATGATTCTCTCTCATTGATGCTTCTAACTCTCTATCCCTCTCTCCTCCCCTCTGTAAAAAATCGATTAAAAAAAATATATATATATATATATTTTAAAATATATGTTATTGATTTTGTACAGAGAGGAAGGGAGAGAGATAGAGAGTCAGAAACATCGATGAGAGTCATCGATCAGCTGCCTCTTGCACACCCCCTACTGGGGATATGCCCGCAACCAAGGTACATGCCCTTGACCGGAATCGAACCCGGGACCCTTCAGTCCCCAAGCCGATGCTCTATCCATTGAGCCAAACCGGTTTCGGCAATAAAATATATTTTTTAAAAATTTACACAACTAATGCTTCAGAGCCAGGAACCCAGGCCTGCTGGACTCCAGAAGTGCTTTTGTAACCTCTCCCAGGCTGGGGGAGAGGGAGGCTCCCCGAAAGAAGTGTGCTTGCCCTGGCCATGAGCACTGAGTTGACTGAAAAGTGAGAGGAGAGTTGTGCGTGGCCCCTGCCGCCCTCCCGGAGAAACTCCTGGTGGATGAAGGTTCCTCGCCCCGGGGCTTGGCAAGGGGCGGCTGGGCCCTCACCTCAGGGTGAATGCACAGGTTCTTCCGGGAGCTCAGCGCCAGCCCCAGGAACGGCAGCTTCTCGCCCTCCTGCTTCTCGTAGAAGTTGAGCAGCTTCCGAAGCTCCTCAATCACCTGTGCCGGCCCAGGAGGGAGGGGACTGGGCCTCCCTGAAAGCACAAGCCCCCTCCCAGCCAGGCCCCAGCCCCTTCCTCAACTTTCCCAACACCCACCCTCAGCGGTGATGGCAACCACCGGGGGGGGGGGGAGACCAGTGGGCCCAGGAAACGGGGGGAGCTCGGAGATGGGCCCCAGCTCACCTTCTCAATCTCGGGCACTGTCCTTGAGCAATAGATGAGTTTAGTTACCTCCAGCGGATACGCCTGCCGACGACAGTGGGCTCAGCCCTGGCCCCTCCCCCCTTCCCCCCCCAAGGCCCAAAGGGTCACTTACCCGCTGATAAGCCATGATCAGGGCCAACAGGGACACTGTCTTCCCAGTTCCTGAGGGCATCTCCAGCACGCCATGACCCTGCGTGTTGGGAGTGAGAGGAACAAGACACAGGCTCTCAGAACTTCAGGGGCACAAACCCTGGGAACGTCCCCTTCCCCACTGATACCTCCATCTTGGAACAGCAGGACAACACAGCAGTGGAAAGCCTGGGCCCCAGGAGCAGTGGATTTGAACCCCATTTCTGCCACCTCTCTGTTGAGGGGTCCTTGGCAAGTGCCTTCATCTCTCTGGCCTCAGTAGCCTCATCTCTAAAATGGGTCTAGTCTAACTGGTCTGGCTCAGTGGATAGAGCGTCGGCCTGCGGACTGAAAGGTCCCAGGTTCGATTCCAGTCAAAGGCATGTACCTTGGTTGCGGGCACATCCCCAGTGGGGGGTATGCAGGAGGCAGCTGATCGATGTCTCTCTCATTGATGTTTCTAACTCTCTATCCCTCTCCCTTCTTCTCTGTAAAAAATCAATAAAGTATATTTTAAGAAACAAATATGTTTTTATTGATTTTAGAGAGAGGAAAGCACAGGGAGAAGCATCAATGAGAGAAACATGGATGGGCTGCTTCCTGCATGCCCCCTACTGGGGACTCAGCCACAACCAGGATGTGCCCTGACTGGGAATCGAACCAGCGACCAGGGCATGAGAGGGGGCTCGACCAGCGGAGCCACAAGGCTAGGGAGAGCCCTTTTTCTTTTAATTTAGCAAACACTCCTGCACTTACTGTGCACCTGGCTGTATTTCATTTCATTTCTTTTCTTTCTTTTTTTTTTTCTGGCAGTATTTCTAAGAGTCTTAAAAATCAGGGTTTGCCATCTTGGGCTTTAGTGACATTTGGGGGCGGGATAATAGGTGGTCGCCTGCGCACTCTAAGATGTTTATCAGCATAATGGGCTCTACCTACCAGATGCCAGCAGCACCTCACTCCACCCATCTGCCACCCAGAAATGTCTCCGCATGTCCTCTGGGGGTGGGGTGGGGGGGGGTGTCAACACCATCCCCAGTTGAGAACCGCTCCCTGACTTAGCCAATCCACCCATGTAGCCCTCTGAGGCAGGCGGTGTGGCTTACACCCATTTCGCGGGGGTGAAGCCTGCGGACCAGGGAGGTTGGGTGATGATGTTCCCAAAGGCACACAGTGGTGCACCCAGGACTCCAACTCAGAGAGCCCACCCCAACGTCTACACATCCCTAACCCCGGGGCAGCTCCGCCTCCCTGAGCCTCCGCTGCTGCTGGTGGGACTAGCGTCGCTTTGGCCGAGGGCTCTGCGACCCCGGGCTTCCGCCCAGGCCTCCTGCGTCCCCGGGGCGGCCCCTCCGTCGGCGGGCGGCGCGGGCCCCACGCACCTTGGCGTCGAGCGTGCGCTTGAGCTCCAGCATGTAGGAGAACTGCTCCGGGTAGATGTAATCGTACGGGAAGTAGACCAGCAGCCCGTCCACGTTGAGCCTGGCGGCGGGGCTGTCCGGTCAGTTCCGCGTCCCCTCCGCCCCCCATCCGTCCCCGGTCGTCGCGCCGGGAGGGGTGACCTGCAGGGCGCGGCCCGTCGGGCCCCCCCCCCCCGGACGTACCCCCCGTCCCCAGGAGCCTCCGGGTCTCCCCTCGCATCGCCTCGCTGCCCATCCCCGTATCCCCACCTCACCCCCTCGGGCGCCCCTGGCCCCGCAGCGGCTCCGAGCGCGCCCACCGCTCCCCCCATCTCCCAGGGCCCCGCTCCCGCCAGCGAGCCGCACACCGCGGCCCCCTCTCACTTCATGGCGCCGGTCGCGGCTGGAAGCGGCGTCAGCCCGCCCCCCTCATGAATATTCAGTGAGGCAGGGCCCGCGGGGCGTCCTCGAGGCGCCGCTCCACCTTCCTCACAACGCCATTGGCAGATCCCGCCCGTCACTCCGCTGGGGTGGAGCCAATCGGGATGATGCGCGTGCGCACGGCAATGCGGCGGGGCGGGCTCCCGAGAGAGGCCCGCGCCGCGGAGGATCGCCGAGGACCAAGAACACAACAGGGAAGGAAGAGAACCGAGAGAATCGATCCCATTCATTAGGATTTGGTCTTCCCGCTTCTGCCCAGATTATCTGAGGAGCAGAGAGAGTCTAGGGGGAAATGATAGGGAAATTGGGGAGTTAGGAATGGCTTCACCGTGCCAGACAGACATGCACTGATAAAATACCTGCTGTGTCCTACACTTCTCTGGGATTAATAACTCTCCTCATTTATTGAGCTCCTACTCTTTGCCACATGCTGCCTTAAGCAGGCAGTAATACAAAGGCACTGTGGTTTGGTGGTTAAGTTGTGGACTTTGGAACCAGAATGCTTGGGTCCAAATCCTGACTCTACTGCACTACCTGCATGACCCTGATATTACTTAACTTCTCTGGCGTTGCATTTTCTTATATTCGAAGCATGTAAAATTAGGTTATCTACAGTGTAGGTGACACTTAAACTAACCCACATAAAGCTGCTAAAACTGGGTTTAGCACATATTAAGATTTCAATAAATGCTCGCTTTTATGTGTTTGCTTCAGAAATAGCTGTGGGGCCGGGACTGGTTTGGCTCAATGGATAGAGCGTCGGCTTGGGGACTGAAGGGTCCCGGTTCGATTCCGGTCAAGGGCATGTACCTTGGTTGCGGGCATATCCCCAGTAGGGGGTGTGCAAGAGGCAGCTGATCAATGATTCTCTCTCATCGATGTTTCTAACTCTGTATCTCTCTCCCTTCCTCTCTGTAAAAAAATCAATAACATATATTAAAAAAAAAAAAGAGAGAGAGAGAGAGAGAGAAAGAAATAGCTGTGGGGTGCCCTAGCAGGTTTGGCTCAGTGGATAGAGTGTGGGCCGGTGGACTGATTCGGTCAAGGACATGGTCTCCAGCCATGGTCGGGGTGCATGCTGGAGGCAACCAATTGATATGTCTTTCTCACATTGATGGTTCTCTCTGACTCTTCCTCGCCTTTCCACTCTCTCTAAAAATCAATGGAAAAATATCCTCAAATAAGAATTAATAAAAAACAACACACACACACACACAAACCAAAACCAAAAACAAACAACAACAAAAAAAAAAACACCAGCCTGGCTGCATGGCTCAGCAATTAAGCATCAACCCATAAGCCAGAAGTTATGGTTTGATTCCTGGTCAGAGCACATGCCAGGTTGCAGACTTGATCCCCAGTAGGGGTGTGCAGGAGGCAGTCGGTCAATGATTGTCTCTTATCATTGATGTTTCTCTCTCTCCTTCTCCCTTCCTCTTTGAAATCAATAAAAATATCCTATATAATAAAAGCCTAATATGCAAGTGCATAGATCAAATGGTGGAAAGACTAGTCGCTATGATGTGTACTGACCAGCAGGGGGCAGACGCTCAATGCAGGAGCTTCCTCTGCCCGCAGGCCCCCAGCCAAGGCAGGTCTTCAGCTCAACTTAGAAACAATCTACCCTAAGCTCACGGGTCGCTGGCAGGATTCATTTCCTTGCTGGATGTCAGCAGGGAATTCTCTGAGGTCCCTGGCACGTGGGCCTCTCTGAGGCCGGCTGGCTTTATCAAAGCAAGAAAGCAAGCAGAGCCAGAGAGAAGGGCACAGATGGAAGTCACCGTCTTTCATAACCTAATGTCAGAAGGGACAGTCCATCGCTTTTGCTGTATTTTATTCCTTAGGATGCGTCACTGCATCCAGCCCGTGCGCAGGGCGGGGTCACTCCAGGGCGTGAACACAGGAGGCCGGAGGGTTGGGAGCCATCTTAGAATGACTGCCTCCTGCCTCCTCCTGGCCTTTGTAGTTGCTCCTCCGTCTGTCTGGAAGCTTCTTTCCCTGATCTCTGCGTGGCTTCCTCCCTCAAAAGTCCTTTCCTCTCTGAGGCCTCTCCTGACCACCTTATTTGGGTTGTCATATTCTCTGGGCAGGCTGAATAATGGTCCCCAGAGACCTGCAGGCACTGATCCCTGGACCCCATGAATGTCCCCTCACATGACAAAAGGGACTTTGTGATAGATCCTCCCTTCCTCCAACTGATGGAGGGAAGTAAACTCCACCTGCAGCGGACATTCCTGAGCTCTGAACCACCCATCAGCACCTGCCAAACACCCTAAGCCCCTGATTCCTAAGTCCCTAGGTCCCTAATCATAGGCCTTACATGGAACCACCAATCAGCGTGTGCTGAGTGCCCTAAGCCCCGTCCACTCTCTATCCTCCCCTTAAAAAGTGCTTGTACCCCGGCCCTCACTCGCTCTCTTCTGTTCTCTCTCTGGAAGCAGCCAGCAGTGGTTCTCTTCTCTTCAATAAAGCCTGTGTCCTGGCATCCCGGTCTCCTGCCCTCTCTATTTCATCTTTCACTTTGCAGGTGTGACGAAGCTAAGCAAGTGCTCCCTAACTGTACAGGGTGACCCTGAAGCAGGATGCTACCTGGAGGCTTTGAAGATGGAGAAGGGAGGCGGGGGGGGGGGGGGGGGCAGAGGCAATGAATGCAGGGAATGTAGCTCTGGAGGCTGGAAGAGGCCAGGGAACAAACGGATTCCTCCCAGAGACCCGAGGGCTCTCAGCCCCGCCAGCACCTTGATGTCAGCCCAGCGAGACTGAGTTCAGATTCCTGACCTTCGGAAGAGAAAACAAAAATGAGTGCTTTTTTATTATTGTTGATTTTTAGAGAGGAAGGGAGAGAGAGAACCATCGATGTGAGAGCCAAAGATCAGCCACCTCCTGCACACCCCCGACTGGGGATTGAGGCTGGCCACCTGGGTATGTGCCCCGACCGGGATTCCAACCGGTTATCTCTCACTGCAAAGCTGAAACATTTCTATGGCCTGGTGACATCAGAGCCACCTGAACATGTAGCTCATGCATTACTCACGTGTTTGTGATGATGCTGGTGTCAACACACCGGCTGAGCTGCCAGTCAGATAAAAGTATAGCACAGTACGTAATACTTGCTAATGACAGTAAATAACTCTGGTACTGGTTTATTATGCCATTTTTAAAAATTTTTATTGCGTTTTTTTCCGAGAGAAAGAGAGAGGGATAGAGAGTTAGGAACATCCATCATCTGCCTCCTGCACACTCCCTACTGGAGGGTACTGGGTACGTGCCCACAACCAAGGTACATGCCCTTGACCAGAATCGAACCTGGGACCCTTTGGTCCACAGGCAGACACTCTATCCACTGAGCCAAACTGATTAAGGCATATTATGTCATATATATACTTTTTATTTTAGAGTGTACTCTTTCTACTTATAAAAAAAAGGTTTGCCTGGTTTGGCTCAGTGGTAGAGCGTCGGTCTGCGGACTGAAAGGTCCCAGGTTTGATTCCGGTCAAGGGCATGTACATTGGTTGCGGGCACATCCCCGGTGGGGGGTGTGCAAGAGGCAGCTGGTGGATGTTTCTCTCTCATCGACGTTTCTAGCTCTCTATCCCTCTCCCTTCCTCTCTGTAAAAAATCAATAAAAAATATATTTTTTTTAAAAAAGGTTTGCTGTAATACAGTATGCTGTGCTACACCAACAGCAGCCTCACACATCTCCTTTACCTTGTCTCTCTCTTTTTTTTTTTTTTTTTAAAAACACGTTTTTATTGATTTTGAGAGAGGTGAGGGGGGGAGGGAGAAGGACAGAGAGAAAGAAACATTGATGAGAGAGAAACACCATTCATCAGTTGGCTGCCTCCTGCATGCCCTACCCTGGAAATCAAGTCTGCAACCGGGGCACGTGCCCTGACCGGGAATTGAACCAGTGACCTCTTGATTCATGGGTCAACACTCATCCACTGAGCCACACTGTCGGATTACCTTATATCTTAATAGCATCATTTTCTTTTGTGCTTGATTTAATCTCATGTTGTTTTGTACAGTCACAGCTGCGGTAGGCTAGATCACATAACCCAGCTATGCGGTAGACTAGACCACCTAGGTTTGTGCTGTGTTGTGTGCACAGCAATGACATCGCCTATTGTTGCATTTCTCAGAAGATATCCCAGTTCTTAACTGGTACAGAGGGAATGATGGGCTCTCAGGAATCCACTGCAAGTCCATTCAATTGGAACAGAAACCATTAAATCATTTATAGGTTAATTTATTTTTATTTATTTATTTATTTTTAATAGATTTTATTTTTAATATATTTTATTTATTTTTTTACAGAGAGGAAGAGAGAGGGACAGAGAGTTAGAAACATCGATGAGAGAGAATCATTGATCGGCTGCTTCTTGCACACACCCTATTAGGGATGTGCCTGCAACCAAGGTACATGCCCTTGACTGGAATCGAACCTGGGACCTTTCAGTCCGCAGGCTGACGCTCTATCCACTGAACCAAACCGGTTTCGGTGATAATTTTTTAATGTAGGATGTGGATACATGGATGATGTTCTTTCATTAGTCTCTGCTTTCATAGAATTTTGAAAAATTCCAGAAATGTTTATTATCAACAGTCCCCTAGTTCACTGTTCACATCTCAATGCTTAAAATATTAAAAACCATAAATACACATAACTCCCTCTGAGCAAGCTTTTCTGATTTATTTCACTCTCAGTGCATGTAGAGGACCTCTATCCAGAATTTAGCAATTTTTATTCTCTTCTTTAAGCTGGCTCCTACTATTAGAATAATCTCCTCGTTCCCCATTCTTTGTGATTTTTAAAAATTCAATTAATTTAACCTAAAATAAAACCAATTTACTCATTTTTGTTTATTAAGGACAGTTTCATGCAGACACCTAAGTGGAGAGAATAATATAAGAATGCTCCACATCCACTAAGCTTCATCCGTTTTTAACACAGGGCCCATCTCGTTTGCCTACATGCCAGCCACTTCCCCTCCCACTGTAACCAGAACCCAAGTCTGGCTGCCTGCTGCCAGAGAAAACCAGACTCCTGCCGAAACCGGTTTGGCTCAGTGGTAGAGCATTGGCCTGCGGACTGAAAGGTCCCGGGTTCGATTCCGGTCAAGGGCATGTACATTGGCTGCGTGCACATCCCCAACTGGGGATGTGCAGGAGGTGGCTGGTCGATGTTTCTCTCTCATCGACGTTTCTGGCTCTCTATCTCTCTCCCTTCCTCTCTGTAAAATATCAATAAAATAAAAAAAATATATATATATATATGTATATATATTTATATATATATATATATATATATATATATATAATTTTTTTTTTTTAAAGAAAACCAGACTCTTGAGACAAATGCTGGTGAGAAAGGAGAGGTTTATTCAAGTGCCGGTCACCTCAGGTGATGGGGGACCCTGATCAGAAAGCCCACTCCCTATCTCAGTGCAGGCAGAGGTTTTTATAAGGCGGGAGAGGCAAAGAACAAAGAAACAAAGGGGAGGCCACTGAAAATTCTCTGCGTACAGGCCAGCGCCATCCACTCCTATGAGGAATCTCCAAGAATCAGTCAAGTGACAGTCTGGTATGCGCTATCCTGGTCTCTGTCATCCTGGTTCCATGGCTGAAGGTCAGAAAATTTCTCAGAACTGGAACGACTAAAGGTCAGAGTCTGTATCTTCTGAAATTAATTCCTAAGATTCTTTTACAAACATGCTGTTTTTCTACAAGCTACTTAGTAGAGTCATCATTTACAGAAACAATGTCAAAAGAATGCTGGTGTGGGTTCCAGTCCCCACTGTTACACCACCAGTCAATTATTGTTTTTAAATGTCTTTACTGAAGAGAGAAGGGAGAGGGAAAAGAGGGTGGTGGTGCTCATATTGCACAGCAAATACAATGATGTAGCTTTATGATTTATCAAAAACTACTCAGGCCGAAACCGGTTTGGCTCAGTGGATAGAGCATCGGCCTGCGGACTGGGGTTCGATTCCGGTCAAGGGCATGTACCGTGGTTGCGGGCACATCCCCAGTGGGGGGCGTACAGGAGGCAGCTGATCGATGACTCTCCCATCGACATTTCTAGCTCTCTATCTCTCTCCCTTCCTCTCTGTAAAAAATCAATAATATATATATATATATATTTTTAAAACTACTCAGAAGAGATAGAAGCTCATGCTTTGTCAAAGGTTTTTATTTTTTTAAAAATATTTTTATTGATTTTTTTACAGAGAGGAAGAGAGAGGGATAGAGAGCTAGAAACATTGATCAGCTGCCTCCTGCACACCCCGTACTGAGGGATGTGCCGCAATCCACTGAGCCAAACCAGTTTCAGCAAAAGTTTTTAAATTTTTATTGATTTCAGCCGAAACTGGTTTGGCTCAGTGGATAAAGCGCCAACCTTCAGACTGAAGGGTCCCAGGTTCGATTCTGGTCAAGGGCATGTACCTTGGTTGCGGGCACATCCCTAGTAAGGCATGTGCAGGAGGCAGCTGATCGATGTTTCTCTCCCATTGATGTTTCTAACTCTCTATTCCTCTCCCTTCCTCTCTGTAAAAAAACAATTAAAAAATAAAAAAGGGCACACTCTTCAAGGTCGTACTCTCCACAAGGCCACACGGATTTCTGGTGAAGCCTGTTGGGAAGGATCTCCCAATCCATGCCAACACACAGGAGGAAAACAACCCCGCAGGAGGCAGAACCAGCAGACACAGGGACAGGGGTGATGGCCCCAAACACCAGGATCACCAGACCTACCACTGCGCTGTGCTTCAGATGCCTACATGTTCGAGAAGAACCAAAAACACCAAAAACAAAAGCAGAGGCAACTGACAGAGGAAGAACAGGATCCACACGAGGGACATCGCTTCGAAGGAGGCAACTTTTTTTTTTTTTAATATATTTTATTGATTTTGTACAGAGTGGAAGGGAGAGAGATAGAATTCGAAACATCAATGAGAGTCATCGATCAGCTGCCTTTTGCACACCCCCTACTGGGGATATGCCAGCAACCAAGGTACATGTCCTTGACCGGAATCGAACCCGGGGCCCTTCAGTCCCCAAGCCGACGCTCTATCCAAACCGGTCCCGGCCGAAGGAGGCGACTTTAAGACTGCTTTGCCAAAAACGGTGACAGTGACGATCGTTGATTAAGCCGGAATGGGATCCAGAGAGAAGGAAGCCGATTTCTGTGCAAACTACCTTTATTTATAAAGAAGAACGCCCCCATTTTGTTATAAAACCAGCACTGTGTGAAGGCACTTGGTCGGTTGGCGGGTGCAGGGTAGGGGGGAGGGTGCAGCCATCCCTGTGGAGAGACCAGGATGCCTCACCAGGTCCCCCCCAAGGCCGCTGGGAGAAACGGGGGCAGAGGTGACTCCCAGGTGAAGCCACTGGAGGGGGACCCATCCCACTGGGGTGATGGGTTGGCTTGTTTTGAGGGACAGTTAGGGGTGGAGGGCGCTTTGGACAGAATCTGATTTGGCCAACGGGGGGGCTCCCTCTTGCCCCCCAAGGACCTCCCCCAGGTAAGGCAGGTTCCTGAACGTAAGGCTGAGGTTCTCCTTCTCCCCGGGCTTCCAGGAGAGCAGAGCGCTGGTGGCGAGGAGCCCACCCCGGCCCGGCGTGGGGTGTGGGGCGGCGCAGCGGTAACCGACCGGGGTCTGAGCCAAGGCCACGCCGCCTCCTCCGTCTCCCCCGAAAACGTCCTTCTCTCCGGCTACACCTTACTCCTCTGAGCCTTCACCCTGGGGAAGAGCTGAGGGAGACAAGAGCTTCAGACACCAGGAGCACCCACTCCCCCCCAAGGTGGTTGGAGTCGCCTATCCACCCCAAACACAGGACAGTCTCCATCACCCCATTGCTCTGGAGCCCTCCGAGTCCCTGTCACTGCTTGCTGAGCTGGAAGTTCTGAGTCCCCCACCCCGCCTGCCTCTCCCCGCCCGTGGATGTCTGGCTGGGACCCGCCTCCCCCCACCCCCAAATCAAAAGAATCTCCTCTCCCAGACATCCTGGGATCCTCCTGGTCTCCTTCACGACCCTTGTGGGATCTCTCCCTCAATACTTCCCTCGTTTTGTTAACGGATTCTTCCTCATCCTGCCCAATTCAGGGCAATAAAAGTTTCCCCATCTGTAACAGAACTCGTTAACTTTGGCCCCAGCATGACAATGTCACTGCTTCCCTTGGCTAAAATACACTCTCGGCCTCCCATCCTATATAATAAGAGGGTAATATGCAAATTGTCTCCTCACCCAGGAGTTTGGCCTGAGTGTGACCAGCTCCCCAACCGCACTCGGCCCCTCCCCCTGGCCAGCCCTGCCCCCCATAGTCCGCCTCACCCCCATGGGGCAGCCGACCCTACCCACCTGTGCACGAATTCGTGGGCCAGGCCTCTAGTGAATATAATAAGGGACGATAATAAAACTATCTGAGCACGAGCCAATCAAATAGCCAGGAGGCAGGATCGGTGCTACCCCATGCAGCACCACCAGGGAGCGCTGTTCCTTACCCCGTTACTGGACGGGCTCCCTCACCTTCCCAGGCCCAGGCGGGCTTTACTGAACCCCACCCCTCCCCTGTAATGGGCTGTCCCTCTCGCCCTCCTTTTCCCTATGGGGTCTCCCCATTTCCCCAACAGCCATCAGCAGGCCCCACAGCGTCTCCCCTGGGCTCACCCCGAAGTAGTTGCGGGGCACGTAGCCCTCCTGGCCGTGCAGCGCGGCCCACCACCAGTCTGTCTCCTCCGGGCCGTCCCTGCGCAGCACCGTCACCGACTCGCCCTCGCGGAAGGACAGCTCGTCCCCGAACTCGGCGCTGTAGTCCCAGAGCGCGTACACCATGCCGTTGTGCATCAGCCCCATGCTCTGCTCCACGTCTGCGACCGGAAGGGCGGGCAGGGCGGTGAGGGCGGGGCCGGGGCAGGGACACTCAGGGACACGGGACAGGGACAGGCCTGGGGTTGGTGCTGCCCCAAATCGGGGGGGAGGGGGAGGAGAGGAAGCCACCTGAGCTGGAGCCAGCTGCCAGGACTGGGAGTCTCTAAAACAGGAGAACTTGGGGTGCCTCAAGCTGGGCCAACTCCCAAGGCAGGGCCAGAGGCCTCCATGCCTGTTGTACAGTAAGCCCCCCTCCCAGCTGCTACATTCCCTCCTGGACAGTAAGAGATAGAGTCTGCGCCCCCCCCCCCCCCCCCCGCCATTTAAGGGGTACAGTCTCCACAGAGGGCTCCTTCACATGGTACAGCCCTGCTCCGCCTTCCCCTCCGGGGTCCCATCTCCCCTCTCCCGACGGTGCAGTCCACACCGCTCCACCTCCCTAAAGTGATGAAGTTTCCAAAAAGGCTGTAGTAAGCTCTCTGGACGGCACAGCCCACCCACACCTCCGCCCTGCAGCCCACCACCTCCCGCCTCTTCAGTGCTGCAGCCCTGGAGTTCCGATTTCTCCTCCCTCCCTCCCTCCGGTGTGCTGGCCAGCATCCGCCCTCACAGAACTCTCCGTGCTCCGTCAGGGCGGACAGGACAAAGGTGAATGGCCCACCCCCTCCCCAAAGGCCACAGCCCCTCCTCTCTCTGCTGAACAGTCTCCTTCCCCGCAAGTGGTCAGATCCCCTCTGCCCGGTCACCTAGGGCCGATGTCACAGCCCGTGGCTCTCACCCACCTTCTGACACAGCAGACACAGCAGGCACAGCTGGCTTGCCTTGCCCTCGAGGCTCCTCTCCTAAACGCCCAGTCCCAGCCCCGTCCTCCAGCCTGCCTTACCCCTAATCCTGCCCTATGCCCCTCCAGGTGCGTGCGCACACCCCGGGGTCCAGCCTGCCCAGTTCCTCCCGCACCTGGTGAGGTGAGGTGCCCCCCTCCTGGAGGGACATGGTACAGTCTCCCCTCTCCCTACAAGTGGAGGAGTCCCCAAGCCCCTCTGCAGAAGCCATGGCTGCGCACCCACCAGCTGCGTGCACCGTCTCTCCCACGGGTAGTACAGGCCACCTGCCCGGCCCTCTCTATGCCAGGGAGATGGTAGAGTTGGAAAGTCCGGCCCCTCCTCCCCCCTCCGTGAGAAAGCAGATGAACTCCGCAATTCCTACGACCACTTTTCTCCCCAATGGAGTCCAACTTGCAAGACACAGCCCCCACGGTACCCCTCTCCCTCCCAGGTAGCACCCTCTGCCTCCCACCCCTGCTTGCACCTGTGGGGGAGGCCCACCCTGCGGCCCCTCTTAAGCTGCCTGAGCTGCATGGCTGGAACAGACCCCAAGTCCTCTCTCTGACCAGTGTGCGCGGCATCTGCGGGCCCCCCGCCCCCCTTTCCTTTCCCCCTCCCCCTTCCGAGGCGGCCCCGCCCACCAGCCCGCCGCAGGCCCCGCCCACCAGAAGGCCCGGCCCACCAGCCCGCCGCAGGCCCCGCCCACCAGCCCGCCGCAGGCCCCGCCCCGCCTCGCACCTGCCAGGTACGTGGCGCAGTCGGCGTAGCCCTCCCGGTAGGGGTCGCACTTCTCGATGGCGGTGGCGCCGTCGCTGAGCGTGGTGGCGAAGATGGCCGCGCCGTGCTGCACCAGCGCCGTGCAGATGGCCGTGTCGTTGCAGGAGGCGGCGCAGTGCAGCGGGGTCCTGGGCGGGGAGGCGGGGTGAGCGGCCGCCCCCTCCGCCGGGTCCCCGCCCGCCCCCGCCCCGGCCCCCGCGGGCCCCGCTCACCAGCCGTGGCTGTCGGGGGAGTTGACGTTGGCGCCGGCCGCGATGAGAAAGTCCACGATGGGGTAGTTGGCGCCGCAGATGGCGTTGTGCAGGGCCGTGATGCCCTCCTCGTTGGGCTGGCTCGGGTCGTTCATCTGGGCGCCCAGAGAGCCAGGCTCAGTCCGCGCCTCCGCGGTCCCGCCCGCCCCGCCGCCCCGCCGCCCCGCCGCCCCGCGCCCCGCCGCCCCGCGCCCCGCTGCCCCGCGCCCCGCCGCCCCGCTGCCCCGCGCCCCGCCGCCCCGCTGCCCCGCGCCCCGCCGCTCACCTCCTTCACCGCCTGCTGCACCACGTCCAGCTCCCCGGTCAGCGCCGCGTCCAGCAGCAGCACCAGCGGGTTGAGCCGCGCGCGGCGGGCCTTGCGCGGAGAGCCTGCCTTCCGCAGCACCGAGCGCATCTCCTGGGCGACAGGGTGGGGGCGTCAGTGACTTCCAAAAGGTTGGGAAGGAAATGCTCAAAATGTTAAGTCAGAGTTCTGAGTGCTGTGATTTTGGGGTCTCTTAAAAAAAAAAATGATTTTTTACAGAGGCGAAGGAAGGATAGAGAGTTAGAAACATCGATCAGAGAGAAATATCAATCAGCTGTCTCTTGCACACCTCCTACGGGAATGTGCTCGCAACCAAGGTACATACCCTTAGAACCTGGGACCTTCCAGTCCACAGGCCCGTACTCTTTCCACTGAGCCAAACTGATTAGGGCTAAAAATATATTTTTTTATTGATTTCAGAGAGAGAAGAAGAGGGAGAGAGATAGAAACATCAGTGATGAGAATCATCGATCGGCTGCCTCCTGCATGGCCCCCATTGAGGATCGAGCCCACAACTCGGGCCTGTGTCCTGACTGGAATTGAAGTGTTCATAAGTTGAGGTTCAGCTACTGAGTCACGTGGGCCTGATTTAGGCCTCTTTAGTTTTACCTATTTCCTTAAGTTTCAATGGTGTTTGGGTATTCCTTTCTAGTGGAAATATTCATTTAAAATATAAATCTCTATAACAACACATAGTGCACTAATCTATGAATTTATGATTCAAATGACAAGTCTTTAATTTCCAGTTCTAGGGACTTTAAGAATCAGGAATTAGCCCTGGCCTAAATTCTAAAATCCTATTCTTCAATCCTTCAGTGCTATAAGATTCTAGAATTGTAATTGTGATTCCAGGATTGAATTACTGAATTCTGTGAGTCTTCAAGTTTCTCTGTGGCCAGGATTTTGTGATTCCACAATGAGGCAACTGGGCCATCTTCATGATGCCAAGATCCTAAGCCTCAACAGTTCTTGGCTCCACCCTCAGGAGGGCCTGGGAGTAGGCATTTAGAGATGCCCCCACTTCTCTGGGGATTGTTCCCCTCCATCTCCCCACACTGAGCGATCAGGACTGTTTTATGCGACCACACACCCCAATCCCAGCTATGATGCAAAGACTAGACAAGATCAGCAGGAGGTCAAATAATAGCAGTAATAGCAGTTCACAGGCAAGGGCCAAGCAATATGTTAATATAGTTCATCTTCATAGCAGCCCTACCATTATCCTCACCCCATTTTACAGAAGAGAAGACAAGCCCAGAGAGGGTAAGTGTCTTGCCTAAGGCTGCACAGTGGGTTGGTGCTGTGGAACTGGTATCTGAGCCTGACAAGCCTCGCTGGACACTGAACCACAGCAGCGCACAGCCTCAGGAACCAGAGACTTGCTCTGGGAAATCTGAATAGAAGCTCCCAGTAGCTGAGGCTGGTTTGGCTCAGTGGTAGAACGTCGGTCTGCGGACTGAAAGGTCCCGGGTTCGAATTCGGTCAAGGGCATGTACCTTGATTGCGGGCACATCCCCAGTGGGGGGTGTGCAGGAGGCTGCTGGTCGATGTTTCTCTCTCATCGTCGTTTCTAGCTCTCTATCTCTCTCTCTCTCTGGTAAAAATCAATAAAATATATATATTTTTAAAAAAAAGAAGCTCCCAGTAGCGTCAGAGGACTCCATGGGCTTGCACTAAGAAGTCATTCTGAGTCAGGGCTGGCTGGCCATTTCTAGCCATGGGCTTGCTGAGGTTTGAGAGGAGAGAAGGCAGTCACAAGAGCCTGCGTGGCAGCCAGGGAGTTAACAAAGCGTCTTGCTCAGACAGGCTTTTCAAGCCCCAGAATAAAACCTCTGTCTGCCAAGACACAGTCATTTCCAGGTGAGAAGACTCCACAATTCCTAGCCCTGGCCAGGTAGAGTGCCATCCTGATATGCCAAGGTTTCAGGTTCAATCGATGGTCAGGGAACATATAAGAACCAACCAAGGGCCGTAGCCGGTTTGGCTCAGTGGGTAGATTGTCATTCTGAGGACTGAGGATCCCTGGTTCGATTCCAGTCACGGGCACATGCCTAGGTTGTGGGCTCAATACCCAGTATGGGGTGTGCAGGAGGCAGCCTATCAATGATCCTCTCTCATCATTGATGTTTCTATTTCTCTCTCCCTCTCCCTTCCTCTCTGAGATCAATAAAAATATCTTAAAAGTAAATAAACAAACAAACAAACTTGACAGCCTTCTTAAAAAAAAAAATCAACCAAGGAATGCATAAATAGGTGGAACAACAAATCAATGTTTCTCTCTAAAATCAATTAAAAAAAAAAAAAAACACAAACAAAACTCCAGGATTCCGGAAAGGATGCTCTGGCGTGGTGGGGATGTATTGGAGAGGAACCGGGAGAGGCTGGGTGGCCAAGACATTTGGTTGTCTCTCCAAGTGTTCTTCCTTTCTTTTGAACATGGGCACACTAGATAAAAAACTACATTTCCCAGCCTCCCTTGCACCTGGGTTCCTAGCCAATGGGATGCGGCAGACGTGATGGGCCCAATTCTCCATCTGTTCTAAAAGGGAAGGGGCACCTCCCAGGTGCTAATATGCCTCACTTTCCTCCTCCATTACTTACCATGCTCTGCAGCTGCTCTGGTGGGCTGCTCTGGGGCGGGGCCGGAGGCGGTAGGGGAGCTGGTGGGGCAGGAGCAGGGGGGCCTGCCCTGGCCTCAGATCCCTCAGAGATGGCGGACAGCTCAGGCTCAGGGCCCCCAGGCCCCCCATGACGATGGAAGAGGCGGCTGATGATCTGCTGGTACTGCTTCTTGTGGGTGGGGGGCAGGGCTACAGCGGGGCTCTGTTCCATGGAACCCCTTCGTTTGAGGGGACGAGGAATCTCCGCCAGCACCCGCGCCACCTCCTCCAGCTCTGGCACCGACTGTGCCTCGGGGGGCAGCGCTGGCTGCAGCCGCGTGGGGCTGAGGGGCCGAGTTACAGGGCCTTCATCTGCGTCACCGGCCTCCAGAACCGGAGCCAGAAGCCCCTCCAGCTCTGGTTCGGGCTCCAGCTCAGCAGGGGCTTTGGGGGTGCCTAGAAGGAACAGAGGCAGATCAGAGGGGTTCTCAGGAGACCCCCAAGACTCCCGCCCCACAGCCTCCAAAACCTGCAAGCAGCACCCGATTCGCTGTGTGGCCTCAGGGCAGTTCTCGCTCTCTGGCGACACTGCCCCTGGGCTGCGGTGCCATTTTCCTCTGTCAAGCACTTAGCATGTGGCTGGTGCTGCAACACACCTGTCTGGTTGAACTCTCACCTCACTATCCTTACTATCACCTCCTTCACGGAAAGGGAAACTCAGCCTCAGAGGCAGCAAACCAGCTGCCCAGTGACAACCTCAGTTCTGACTCTGTACTCCTACCATCGTGATAGACTTGAAGTTGTAAGAATCTAAGTGTTGCCAAAACCGGCTTGGCTCAGTGGATAGAGCATTGGCCTGTGGACTGAAAGGTCCCAGGTTCGATTCCGGTCAAGAGCATGTACCTTGGTTGCGGGCACATCCCCAGTAGGGAGTGTGCAAGAGGCAGCTGATCAATGATTCTCTCTCATCGATGTATCTAACTCTCTATCCCTCTCTCTTCCTTTCTCTAGGAAATCAATAAAATATATTTCAAAAAAAAAAAAAAAAAAAAAGAAAGAAAGAAAGAAAGAAAGAAAAAAGAATCTAAGTGCTTCTCCTCCCAGCATGTCAGGAGAAAACTCCTGCTGGGACTAGAATCCTGGCCTTGCCAGTCTCTTCTGGCTGCCTGATTCCTCTCCACCGGAGCGTTAAAAACAGGTAGAAATAATAATGATCACTTTATACACATTATTATTATAATACACCGAATTCCCAATGGAACGTGTGCAATAGATATTATCCATCTCTCTTCACAGATGAGAAAAGAGAAGCTCAGATAGGTTCGCTAATTTATCCTGCATCTCACAGCATCAGAGAGGGAGAGGCTCAAAACCCAGTCTTACCCAACTCCAGGCCCTGCACTGGTCTCACACCAGAAAACAATAATTACCATAACGAATAAGATAGCTGTGAGATGATTAAACATTAGGCCCTATTTTAAGTAAGACGGGTTCTATCATCTCCCTTTACGCTCAAGGAAACGGAGATTCAGAGAGGTGGAGTGACTCGCCCAGATGCTCAGCATGGAGCCCGGCAGTCTGACTCCAGAGTCCATGCTTAACCATCCTGCTGTCTGTCCCTCGCTCCCCGGCAAATCCCCAGCTTTTCTGGCCTTGCTCTCTGCAGGTGTTGGGCCGCGATGGCACCCCCTGCTGGTCTGGTCCCCAGCCATTGGACCTCCCTTCACCACGCCCTCTGGGACCCGCATGGCTGACTCACCTTCACTCCAAGTCTGTTGGGGGAACTGGGGCATTGGGGCGGGGTGTTGGAGCTGAAGCCCAGGCTGGGATTGTGGCTGTGACTGGGGCTGTGGGGGCACCTGGGGCTGTGGCTGTGGCTGTGGCTGTGGCTGGGTCTGGGGTAGCAGCTGGGGCTGGGGAGGTACTTGGGGCTGGGGAGGCAGCTTGGGCTGCGGAGGTCGGGAGAAGATGGGGGAGCCAGGGAACATGGCTCTGCTGGCCCCGTGCTCCCAGAAGGCGTTCTGCAGCTTAAAGATCATGCTGAGGGGGATGGGGCGCTGGCGGGGGGCGCCCCGGGGCTGGGGGTTGGAAGGAGGCATGGGGATGCGGCTGACGGGCTGCCAGCTTCGGGGCAAAGTGCCCGATGGCCCCGCGGAGCCCAGCGACCGGCGGTAGCTGCCCACGTCAGAGCGCCTGTCATTGGCCAGAGGGGAGACCTTGTAATTTCGGGGCAGGGTGGCGCTGGTGAGGTTGTCCTGGGGAGAAAGGGGGGAGGAGGGAAGGAGAGGGGCTCAGGTGGGAGGAAGATGAGGGAAGGGAAGGTGGGGGGGGAGCAAAAGATGAGAAGGGAGAGAAGGAGATGAGGGAAGCCGGAGAAAGCAAGGGAAAGGGGACAGGGAAGGATGGGAAATGCAGGATGAAGAAGGAAGAGCTTGAGGAAAGGGCACAGAAAATGGGGGAGGGGGGGGTGCACAGCCTGGAGGGGGAGACTAGTCCTGACCCCGCCCCCGGCTCTTGCCCGAGAGCCCGCTCCCAAGCCCCTCCGGCCCCTCACCTTGCCGGCGGCCCCCAGCCCGTCCAGGCTGCTCTCCCTCCAGGGTAACAGCTGCAGGCCCGGGGAGGAGGGCCTCCCGAAGGCGTCCAGGCCTGCGGGGGGGGGGGGTCGTTAGGGTCTGGGGCCCGCCTCTCCGGCTCCCACATGCCCCCCACACCCGGCTTCCCATCACTGACGTTCGTAGCTAACGGCGTGCGAAGACTTCTTCTCGTACGCCACGTCCAGGTCCGACTCGTTCCAGGCTTTGGGCGGCCGCCGGCGCAGCATCAGGTCGTCTGAGGGGGGGGATGGCGAATGAGGATGCGGGAGGAGGTTGGTCCCAGGCCCGCACCCCCCACTCCCACCCCCGCGTCCGCCGGGCCCGCGCTCACCTTGCGCTCGCAGCGGCGGGGCGAAGGCGCTGCCGCTCGCGCCCAGCAGGGGGAGCCCGAAGGCGGCCGGGGCGTCGTAAGCGGCGGGGCGCGGCGAGGGCCCGCGCTCCGGGAAGAAGGCCTGCGGGCCCTCGGCCAGGGGGCTGCCGCGCGGGGAGCTGGCGCGGGCCAGCAGGTCGAAGGGCGTCGGGGCGCCCTGCTGGCGGAGCGGGCCGGAGCCGGGCCGCGGGGACGGCGCACGGCCCAGGGAGCCGCCGGCGCCGCCGTCGTAGGCGCGGGGCCGGGGCGAGGGCGCGCGGTCCAGGCCGCCGTAGGCGTCGGGCTGCAGGTAGAGCGAGGTGCGCGGCGACGACGGCCGGCCCTTGGGGGACAGCGAGCTGTAGGGGAGCAGGGCCGGGGCGCTCTCCGAGCGTCCGAACGGGGAGTCCGCGCCGTCGCCGGGCGCCTTCCGGGGGGACCCGCGGCTGCCGAAGGGCTCTGGGACCGGGCTGGAGCTGTACCGGGGCAGCTGGGGAGAGACCGGGCCGTCGAGGGGTCAGACATTACGAGAGGGCTGGGAGGAGGGCAACGGGGATCGTGGAAAATCAACCTCAGGAGGTTGGACCGGGGCTGGAGACTCAGGCACAGAGCCCAGGGGAGCGCGTGGGGAGAAAGGGCTGGAGACCAGGGCTCAGGCCGGTCCATGCAGCGCTCTGAGCCCCTTAGAAAGAGGAGCCTTTGCCGAAGCCGGTTTGGCTCAGTGGATAGAGCGTCAGCCTACGGACTCAACGGTCCCAGGTTCGATTCCGGTCAAGGGCATGTACCTTGGTTGTGGGCATATCCCCAGTAGGGGTGGTGCAGGAGGCAGCTGATCCAATGATTCTCTCTCATAGATGTTTCTAACTCTCTATCCCTCTCTCTTCCTCTCTGTAAAAAATCAATAAAATATATTTTAAAAAAAAGAAAGATGCCCCCTTTCTTCCACGGGTCCTGGCAGGGTTCCCGGGTCCCCTCTAAAGTGGCAAGAGCCCACCCCCCTCTCCCACAACCGTCCCAAGCAGCCTGGCCTGAACTCCCTGCGGAAAGCAGCGGGCTTGGGGTGGGGGATTAGGGGGGGGAACCGGGCCAGCGGGCTCACCCTCGCGGGGGCTCCGGCCTGGGAGCCCGGTGGCGTCGGCGAGTCTGACCACAGCGACTCCAGCTGCTTGGTCAGTTCGTCCACCTTGGCCGCCGCGGTGTCCAGCTCCATCTGCTTCAGGTCCATGTGCTTCATGGCCAGAGCTGGGCGGGCGGGCGGGGGCGGCGGTGAGGACCCGGACCTCCGAGCAGGGGCCCCGGCCCGCCCCCCGGCCGGCCCCCTCCCCCAGCTCACACTGGAAGTTCAGGTCCAGGAGGTCCCCCGAGCTCTGGAACGCCTCGCTGTCCATGGTGCCGGCCGGAGCGGGACGCCTGCGTCGGGGGAGCGGGGAGGTTCTCAGACACCGCCCGTCCGAACCCCCAACCCCGCCCGCCCACCCGCCCGCAGGGAAGCTGGGGCGTTGCCAGCTCCTTCCCCTGGAAGCACCAAGCCTCTCCGCTCTCCGCTCTCCGGCTGGGAAATGCCAGCTCCTTCAAAACCTCCGGGGAGGCGCAGGGCAATGAACTCTACGTGACTCTGCCCATCTCCCTATTTCAGCCCTAATAAGATTTGGATTACCCTGACCCGTTTGGCTCAGGAGACAGCTGATTGATGTTTCTCTATCATCGATGTTTTCTAACTCTATCCCTCTCTGTAAAAAAATCAATAAGATATATTTTTTAAAAATATTTGAGTAATTCCTTCCGACAACTGATCCGTTGACCACCTACTATGTGCCAGGCATTATAGTGAAGAGAGGATGCAATAACATAGCCACCAAGCCCTGGTTGCGTATCTGAGTTAGTTAGAGCATCGCCCAGGTTGTGAGTTCCATCCCTGGTGAGGGCACAAGTCAGTTGCTGAACACATGAACGAATGAAACAACAAACCGATGTTTCTCTCTCTCAAAGTCAACATAATAATAATAAATAACAACAACAACAAAAAGAATAAGTATTAATTACTGAATACCTAACTAGGGACCAGGAAACATGCTAGATGCTGAGAATATTTTTAAATTAAAAATAGATATTTTATTGATTTTCTTACAGAGAAGTGAGAGTGATAGACAGAAACATCGATGAGACCTCGATCAGCTGCCTCCTGCACACCCCCTACTGGGGATGTGCCCACAACCAAGAATCGAACCTGGGACCCTTCAGTCCGAAGGCTGACGCTCTATCCACTGAGGCAGACCTGTTAGGGCTTTTAAAATGTTTAATGTATTGCTTTTGAGAGAAGGAGAAAAACATCTACCTGTGCTCCACCCACCTATTCTGGTATGTGCTCTGTCTGGGGAGCAAACCCTCAAACTTGGGGTTCACTGGCCCCAACCAGGTAGCTCAGTTGGTTAGAGCATTGTTCCCATATGCCAAGGTTGGGGATTCGCTCCCCAGTCAGGGCACAAGAATCAACCAGTGAGCCCTGGCTGGTTTGGCTCAGTGGATGGAGCATTGGGCTGGGGACTGAAGGGTTCCTGGTTCGACTCAGGTCAAGATTCTCTCTCATCGTTGATGTTTCTCTCTCTCTCCCCCTTCCTCTCTGAAATCAATAAAAATATATATTTTTAAAAAAGAATCAACCAGTGAATGCATAAATAAGTGGAACAACAAATCAGTGTTTCTCTCTCTCTCTTCCTCTGTTTAAAAACAAACAAGAATGATAATTGTGCTGCCTAGTGTGTGCGAGGACCTGTGCTAGTTTCGTGGTATAATAAAACGAAACAACCATGTACTGATGAGCTGCTGCCTCCTAGAAATTTGCCAAATGCTCTGCACCCAATAGCTCATGTGATTGTCAAACCAGCAACATTTGTTCAAGGTCACCTGCAAAGAAGCCCAAAGTACGAAGTTCCACACCGGATCTACCTCGTTATTTTGGGCCCCTGAGGGCAGGGACCACTCAGCTTCATTTCCTCAGAGTCCCCACCCAGAGGAGACCTAGCACATAGGGACCCAGAGTCAACAGGAAGACCAGGGAAGTGGCGGGGGGGGGGAGGGGGGAGGTGGAAGGGAGGGGTGGTGGCTGGGCTGCTGTGGTCATTAGCCGAGTGGATGGGAGCCAGGCCACCAGGAACCAGTCAGGCCAGCACTATCGCCATCCCACAGCAGCTGCCACGCCCACCAGCTCTGCCACTTCCTCAGGCTTCACCAACAGCTTAGCTCGGCGTGGGCAGCAGGCGGGCTGGGGCATGCCATCCCGGGCCTCCGTCTGAAAGCCTCAGGACAGAAGCTGCTGGAGCTGGTGGCTCGTACGGGTGTGTTGGGAGTGTATAACCTTGGGCAACGAGTCCCCTCCACTCTTTGGGACTCAGTTTCCCCAATAACGAGGGGAGGAGGTAAGTCAGCTGTGCTGAGGGGCCTCTTCAGTGTCTCAGAGGCCTAGATTCTGAAACTGTAAGGACCTTGAGATTGTCCACAGAGCCCCCAAATCCTCAGCTGGAGAGTCTATTGTTCCAAAGTTCTAAGTCCAAGATGCTATCTTTGGAACATTCTAGAATTCTCCTATCCCAGGACCCTGACAAGTGCCTGGGTTTCCTGATCCGTAAAATGAGGAGGAACAGCAGCCGCCCTCGGAGGACTGCTGTGGGGACCCAACCGGCCAGAAGGTGCGAGAGGAGCTAGGACTCTGCGAACTGAGGCCGCAGGCAGGAGAGACTTACAGGGGTCAAACCTGGTCGTTTAGAATCTTAGAGACACAGGAGACACCCCGCGTCTGTTAAAGTATAAAAACGGAACCATTCTACGCAGCCTCCTGTGCCAGCATTTTGGTAGCGATCGGTTCTTTCGGGGATCTCATGCTTTCCAAATTGCTAAGACGCTCAGATCCCACGCTGACATCCTCTGGTTCAGAGGAAATGCCGACGCCGGGCGTGGGGGGCCCGACCCGGGGCTGGTGCGGGCGGAGGGAGCGTCGGGACCGCCAGGGGGCGCTCCGAGCCACGCCCGACCGCAGCCCAGCGGGCGGACAGCACCTGAGCTCAGGCCCCGGGAATGCGGCGCGGGTCTGGGCAGGTGCAGCACCTCCCGGGCAGAGGAGCGGGGCGGGCGGGGCGGGCGGGCGGCGCCTCTGCTCCCAGGCCCCAGCCCTTCACCCCCAGGTACAGTCCGACCCGAGCTCCCGCTTCTCCCCTGCCCTCTGCCCCTGGCTCTCTTTCCCAGGCCTCCCTCCTCTGCACTCCTACCAGGTTCTCTGGGTTAAGAATCCAGGCAGGAGGTGGGGGTGGGGGTGGGGTCGTCCCAGAGGAATCATCGTTGGTAGAAACCATGCCAGAGCGTCAGGGCGCCAGGCTGGCCTGGGAATACCCAGTTGTGCGGACAGACGGACGCTAGGAGAAGCCCCACCCTCTCTGGGACCGGGTACCCCCCTTTGGGGACAGCTGGGCTGGGACCTTCCCCTCTCTAAGCCTCTTCCTTGGACTAGCTAGTTAGCTTCTCCGTGTCTCAGTTTTCTCGTGTGTATAATGGGGCGATTGAAACCTCCACCTTACAGGGGTGTGAGGTTTGGGTGACATAACTTGTGTGTTTAAAACAGCGTTTAGAACAGTGCCGGGCACCAAATAAAGTTCACACATATGGGATTCTTCGTTCCGGTCTTCCTTTGCTTATCATTAAGATACCACAGGGTCTGGCATAGAGTGAGGGCTTAATACCCAAAGTAATTTCCCTTTCCACTCTCTCTCAGATTCTAAAAGCCCTGCCTTTGGGCCTCTGGCGTCTTCACTTCCTGAGCTCTGAACTCTCCATGTACATTCCTGAGTTCTGGCCAGGGGTCATCCACCATCGTTTAAGCACAGAGGAGCCCTGGAAGGTGCCAGAGAGAAGGCGGCAGAAGCCCAGGGTGCGGGCTTTGCTTGCTCTCGGGCCCGTTTCCCCGGGGTGGGGTCAGCAAACCTCACTGGAAGCGACACCTTGGAACAGTTGCCGGAGACAATGGGAACCGTCCGGTCAGCCTGCCAGCCCTGAGCCTGGCATGCGGTGAGCTCCGTCTTGGCAGCCATGCCTATTATTTTTAATGTCATCACAGGCTGTACCCAAACGCCCTTCAAGCCGAAACTTTGAGGAAGTTCTTCCCTCTCTCACCGGAGCTCCTTGCCTCCCCACCCCCTTGTTTAATCCTTTCCCAGGACACGTGTGGGTGGAGAGAAGGGGAGACAGACGGAGGGACATTCGGGGCCCTGCCCTCCCCTCCTCCCTTTCCCCACTTGCTTCCAGGACAGACACACACCTCCAGAATTAGCCTCTACCCCTCCCTTATCTCCCACGCTACCTCAGGTCAGACAGATGGGGGCGGAGGTGACATTTCTCACCTCAGGGTCAGGGCCAGGAGCCCTAGGAGGGGAAAGGTTAGTCAGAAAACCCTGTGGGAGTGCAAGGAATTCTGCACCCCAGAGAGCTGCAGGGGGGGGAGGGTGGAGAAGAGATACCAAATCTTGGTTCCCCATCCACTCTGACCTCTGAGCTTGGTGCCCCCACCCCCCATCTTCTCTGTGTAACGACTGTGTGGTACCCAGCTCCGCAAGCCTCCCAGACTCCAACCCCACCTTCTGGAATTCTGCCCTGGGTTCTACCTAGAACGCCCGCCCTCTGCAAACCCCAGTGGTTTCCCACCTCCATGGGGCAATCGGAGGCACCACACCCGCGCCAGGGGGCGCCCTTGGGCGGAGGTCCCTCTCTGGTTAGGCAGGTCTGACGCCTCGGCTAATGACATGTTGGGGATCGCGCAGCGGCACCGGGGAGTTTGGAGAACTGCCCCGGCCCTCCCACCCCAGCCCCCACCCCAGAGCCCGGGAGCTTGGGGAGCGCCACGCGGCCTCCGGAGGGACCCCCGGGTATTGGTCTCGCTCCGTTTCAGGAACCCGGGCTCCACTGCCCCCTCCCCGCCCCAATTCTTCTCCTACAGGCTCGGCGGAGAGGGCAGCAGGGGAGGGGTAGGATGGCCTCCCATCCCAGAGCCCCAGCCGTACGGGCCTCCCATTTCTGGCCCCGGATTCAGGCACCCGCTTCCCCAACTCTACTCAAGGACTCGGGGTTCCGGGAGCCCCCAATTCGAGGGACTCAGGAATCCCAGCTCCAACGTACCCCCGGACCACGGCGTCCGAGTCCTAAATTCCAAGAGCTCAGGCCCCCCGGCCCCCTTGCCTTCTGCCCAGCGAACCCAGTATCCAAGCTCTCTCCCTCCGGGACCCTGCGCCAGCGCACCCCAATTCCGCGCTGGCACCCGGCGTCCAGCTCCCCTCCCAGGCCCCCCGGGGACGCGGGGTCGGCCCCTCTGGAGCCGCCGGCCCCGGGGGAGGCGGAACTCACGGGTCAGGGGCCGATCCCGGCGCCAGGGGTCTTCCTCCGGCTTCGGCTCCGGCGGCGGGAGCGGAGGACGGGGCGGGGCGGGCTCCGGGAACAGGTTGGACAACGTGACTCGGGCTGGAGGGAGGCGGGTCCCCGAGGGGAGGGGAGCGGAGCCGGGGTCGCCTCGAGCACCTTGGGACTTGTAGTCCCGGAGGAGCGGGCGCGGACAGAGCCGTTCCCGTTCAGAGGCATCCGAAGTCCATTTCACAGGCAGGAAGGGCGAGGCCCAGCAGCCCAGAGAGACCTGGCCGCGGAAACGGAGGCCACACGTCCACGTCCCGGCGGCCGCGGAAGACGGACCCCCGAATCCCTGCCCCGCCCCTCCAAGTTCAGGGTCCCCCTTCTTGAACGGTTAGGACACTGCCAGAGGGGGGGAAGGGTACAGACTGGGGGAGACTACGCCCTATCCCTAGAGCGAAAGGAGGTCTCCCCAAATAGGATCCCCGCGCGTTCCTGAGCCTCAGTCTCCCCGTCGGTAAAAAGGGCAGACTGGCCCTGGCCGGTGTTGCTCAGTGGATAGAGCGTCGGCCTGCGGACTCAAGGGTCCCAGGTTCCATTCCATCAAGGGTATGTACCTTGGCTGCGGACACATCCCCAGTAGGGGGTGTGCAGGAGGCAGCTGATTAATGTTTCTCTCTCATCGATGTTTCTGACTATCCTCCCTTCCTCTCTGTAAAAAGTCAATAAAACCTATTAAAAAAAAAAAAAGAAGGGGGGGGGGGGAACCGGTTTGGTTCAATGGATAGAGAGAGCGTCGGCCTGCTGACTGAAAGATTCCGGTCAAGGGCATGTACGTTGGTTGCGGGCACATCCCCAGTGGGAGGTGTGCAAGAGGCAGCTGATCGATGATTCTCTCTCATCGATGTTTCTAACTCTCTATCCCTCTCCCTTCCTCTCTATAAAAAGTCAATAAAACTTATTTAAAAAAGGGGGGGGCCCCCCCCGACTGAATCTTACAAGAGGTCCCAGCAACCGCGCCGGGGCTGGGACTTCGGTCCTCGTTGGGCGCTTCCCCGCGGGGTCTTCTGGGAATTGTAGTCCCAGCGCCCGCAGGGGCGACGCCCCGGTGTCTCCCCCACACCCCGCGCGCGCGGGACCCGTCTGGGGGTCCCCGGCGGAGCGGACGCGTCCGCGGACCCTCCCTCCGTTCCGGGGAGCCGCTCGCTCCCTGAAAAGAGAGGGACACCCCAATGCGGGAGCAGGATCCGAAGTCGCGGCAGGCAGAGGGGGCGGGCCGCGGCGCTGACACACCGGCCAGGAATGCCGCTGGGTCACCCTGTCTCGCCGCTGTCTCGCCGCTCGGCCCGCCGCCCCGCGGGAGGAGGTCGCTGCCAGGGAGGGGCGTGGACGCGTCCCCCAAAGGTGGGCCCACGTGCTGCTGTTTACAGGCGCCCCGGGTCCGGGAGGAGCTCTGGGCTTCTCCCTCTCCCTTCCCCAGCGCCTTCGGGAATGTGCTCCTTAAGGGGACCAGACGTCCCGATTTCTAACAATGTGTCCCGCGTCCCTGGGGACTTTTTTAAAACGCCGCCGGGACGCGGGACACATTTAGAATTCGGGGCTGTCGCCGAAACCGATTTGGCTCAGTGGATAGAGCGTCGGCCTGCGGACTGAAAGGTCCCGGGTTCGATTCCGGTCGAGGGCATGTGCCTTGGTTGCGGGCACATCCCCAGTAGGGGGTGTGCAGGAGGCGGCTGATCGATGTTTCTCCCTCATCGATATTTCTAACTCTCTATCCCTCTCTCTTCCGCTCTGTGAAAGAAAAAATCAATAAAATATATTATTTTAAAAAAAATTCGGGGCTGTCCCGCCAAAAGCGGGACGTCTGGTCACCTTAGATGAAATCCTCCAGGACAGCTACCTGTCTGGTTGGACCCAGAGGCCCTATCCCTCAGCTCACACGGCCCCACGCGAGTCTGGAGGCTCCGCCCCCCCATGTTTCCCGCTCCCCCGAGGTCCAGAAGCCCCGCCCCTGGCTGGGACCTCACCCCCTCAAGTGGAATCACCCCCTTTCCTTCCCTTCCCCACTCTTCCCACTCAAAGTTCTGGACTCCCGAGACACCGGGGCTCCCCAGAAGGGACGGTAACACTGAAGCACAGCCACACCAAGCAAGACGCTTACCTCTCTCTTTAAGGACTTCGGACCAATCGATCCTCCTGTCTCTTTAAGAGTTCGGTCCCATCCATGTGGCTGCCCCTTTAAGGTGACGTTGGAGCCAACAATGTCTGAGACACTAAGGGGGGTGCCCGCCGGCGCCGGCTGGGGCTCTGCCTCCCGCCAGACGTCAAATCAGCTGGATCTGGGAGCAGGTTTGCAGGAAAAGAGATCTTCCTCGTTGTCAGCTCCGCACAAGTGGAAATCTCCCGCAGTTCTGCTCGCAAAGCCCGCGGGCTCCCAGCGACACCTCCCCGCCCCCGCGCCCTTTGGGCGCTCCCGCGCCAGGCCCCGCCCCTCCGGCTCCACGTGGTCGGCGGCGGGGCTGGGGCGGCTCAGCTGCCGGTCTGTTCGTGAGCTGCGGACACCGGGATGGCGGGGGCCCCGTCCGGGGGTGAGTTGCTTCAGGGCGGGCCGTCGGGGTGCAGAAGGCTGGCTGGTGGGAGGAGAAAGGGGCGCCGGGAGGGTCTGGGCGGGAAAGGGACATCCCCGGAAACGGGACCTGCGAAAAGCATGCCCCGTGGAAGGCGGGGTGGGGGCACTGGAGGGGCTTCGGCGGGAGAGAGGATATCTTGGGAGGGCTACCCGTGTAGGAGATTTGATCAGTGGAGATTAAGGCGTCTCCGTGGAACCCACCGTTGGAGAGACCGGGTGAGGGCCTTTGGGGTGCTCAAGAGGTTGGGACCAGTGCGGTAGGCGCCCTGGAGCAGTGGTCCTAAACCTTCCCGATGCCGCGACCCTTTCATACGGTTCCTCATGTTGTGGTGACCCCCAAACATAAAATTATTTTCGTTGCTACTTCGTAACTGTAATGTTGCTACTGTTATGAAACCTAATGTAAATCTGTTTTCCGATGGTCTTAGGCTCTACCAGCCAGGGCCTGGAGGATCGGACTGGCAGGAAAGTGTCAACAGACCCGTTTTCCCTCTGCAGGTGCTGCTCGGTTCTCTTGTCCCCCCAACTTTGCCGCCACGGCCCCATCCTCAGAGTCCACTCGTATCTCGTTGGAGGCGCTGACGGGCCCAGACACAGAACTGTGGCTTATCCAGGCCCCTGTGGACTTCGTCCCAGACTGGTGAGTGGTCCCAGCCGCCTCCCTGGAGTACCTGCCACCCTAGTAGATGGACGTGGGGGGGGGATTTAGAGGGCCTTGTCTTAAGGAACCTAGAAATGCATGTTCTCAGCTCCTTCCTCCTGTGCCACCGGAAGACTCTGACCCGGCTTCTGCCCTCCCCTTTCTCCTTTCAGCCTCAACGGGCGGCTGGTGCCGCTCTCTGGCTCCCAGGTGGTGAAGGGCAAGGTGGCAGGCAAGCGGCACCGCTACCGGGTCCTCAGCAGCGGCAGCCCCCACGCTGGAGACGCCACCCTGCTGGCCCCCTCAGCAGAGGCCGAAGGCGGCCTCACCTGTGCCCCGGCCCCCAAGGGCAGCCTGAGGATCTTAGAGGGTCCCCAAGAGTCCTCATCGGGGATCCCGCTGCATCCCATTCCCACAAGCCCCCCACCACAGATGCCCCCCGGCCTGAGGCCTCGCTTCTGCGCCTTTGGAGGCAGCCCGCCAGTCACAGGGCCTGGGGCGGCCGTGGCACTGAGGCCGCCGGCCTCGGGGAGGAGGAGAAGGAAGCGCCATGTGTCTGAGGCCGCCGTTCCTCGGGAGGCGGTGAATGGGCACGGGGCCCTGGAGGTGGACACGGCTTTGGGGTCCTCAGGGGTGGACGTGGGGAAGAAGAAGAAGAAGCAGCAGCATCCCAGTGAACTGCAGGCGGTGAAGCCGGAGCCCGTGGCTGAGGGGCTGGAACCCCTGGGAGTGCTGTTCCCGTCCCCCAGCAAGAAGCAGCAGCAGCAGCAGCTTACAGAGACAGACACGGGGGAGCTGGAGCCAGGAGGAAAGACTGTGAAGCTGGAACTCGGGATTAAAACGGAGCCTCTGCAGGAGCCAGTCCTGACCCCCGCGAAGAAGAGGAAGAGGCGCAAGGGCACAGAAGGGACGGGGGCTATGGAGGGGGTGGCAGCGGAGTCTCAGCGACAGGTGAAGGAGGAGCCCCAGGAGGAAGCCATCCCACTGCTGTCCTCCAAGAAGAAGAAGAAGAAAGAAAGGGGGTGCAGGGTGCCGGGGGAGCCCGGGACTGAGGCTGTGGAGCCGGAGGTGAGAACTCGGGAGCTCCCGGGGGAGAGGGTGGAGCCTGAGCTGCCACACGGTGAGACTGAGCCACAGGCCGAGGCAGCCCTGGCATCCACCAAAAAGAGGAAGAAAAAGGAAAAATGGCAACACCCGATGGTGGAGCCAAAGACAGAGGTGGTGGAGCCCCAGGAGGAGGTGCCGGTGCCGGCACTGCCAGGCGACCTTGAGCCTCAGGCAGCTCTGGCATCGCCCAAGAAGAAGAAGAGAGAGAGAGGGCACAGAGTGGCAGAGCCAGGGGCTGAGGCCGCTGGCCCACAAGGTGAGATGGCGGAGCCCGAGGCCAGGCCGGATCCAGGGACCTCCACGAAGAGGAGGAAGGGGGGCCAGGAGAGAGGGGGGCCAGAGCCGCCACCCCAGGAGGAGATGCCAGAGCCGCCACCGAATCCAGAGTCCGGGGAGGTGGCCCCCACGAGCCGGGCGAAGAAGAGAAAGAAGCTGCAGCAGGAGCCTGCATAGCCTCCTCCGGGGACGGACGCTAGGAGAGCCGAGGGCCGCCCGGGCGGCAGAGCCCAGAGCAGAGAAAACCCCTTCGGTGGTCGCAGCAGCACACAGCGGGAGCCTGGCGGAGATCTTTATTGTTACCCAGAGGCCTCCCTGGCAGCTGGGGTCACCGGGGCACCTTCAAGAAGGGCTCGTGGAGGACATCAAACAGCCTGCGGGCCTGGGGGAGAGGAGCCGTCATTAAATGAGCCGTTTGTTCGGTGCATCCATGTGGGCCGTGGTTGTTCTTCTCCCCGCTGGCTGTGAGGCTGGGCTGGTCCCCACCCTCTCTGGGCCTCGGTTTCCCCCATCTAGAGAGGCACTGGGGGGCTTCTGAAACCATAGAACTTTAGGGTCTGGGGTCCCATCTATTTGGGGCTCCCCTCCTGCCCCTGAGCCCATTCCAGATCTCGTACCTTCTGGGGCCCCAGGCCTGGGCACAAGGCCAGATCTTCCCTCGATGCGGCTATGAGCTGTTCCAGAGACTGAGGAGGTAGGAGTGAAGGGTCAGGGGAGGTGACCATAAAACCCCGCCCTGCCCCAGCTGACCAGGGATCTCAGACATTCCTGGAAGGAGGTGGGGGCCTGTGGGAGGGCAGGAAGGGAGGGTAGGGGGGGCAGGGAAACAGTAGGGGCTTCCTCGAAAAGGCACGGGGGTAGGAATGCCTGTAGGGACACAGGAATCCCTTACCCCGAAAGTGGTCAGGAGGGTCTGACTGTCCGTTTTGTTGACTGACTTCACGGTGGTCAGACATTCAGTCACCTGGAAGCGGGGAGGAGGCAGAGTGAGTTGGGAGTATAAAGCAGAGCTGAGCCCATGAGGGCAGTGCTGTTACTACCGTGTCCCCAGACCTTGCACTCAGGAGGTGCTCAGTAAATGCTTTTTTTTTTTTTTTTATACTGACAAAGAGGTCATCTTAGAGTGACCCCCCAATAGCCGAAAGGGTGTCAGTTGTGGGATGAGAGGATAAATGCCACTTTTTTAGTTGGTTCTGTCCAGGGGAAGACTAGCTCTGGAGTCGGAGCTGTGTTCACACCAGGCCCCACTGCTTACTCCCTGGGAGGTCCTGGCGCAGGAATTCATCTCTGGGCCTCCATTCCCGGGCTAAAGGGAGTCCTAGCAGTACCCACCTCAGGGTGGCTGCAGGCATCCACCATTACTCCATTACCAGAGGCCGGGTGCATGACATTCGTGATGGGGGGTGTTGTCCCTCATCCCAGAGCCCTAGCGAGGTGGCCATCCAAGCTGTGCTCGCCAGCTGTGAGCCCGGCTTCTGGCTGAGCAGCACTCCCCCATGGGGCGCACTGACCACCAAGGGGCAGTTCCTGCATTGAGCATCTGCCCCCTGGTGGTCAGCGTGCATCACAGCAACCAGCAGTTCTGTTTGGTTGATTTGCATATTACCCTTTTTATTAGATGGGACTGGAGCCCCGATTCAATCACTCGTTCAGCCGATAGCCCTGAGTACCCACTGAAGGCTGGGTGGTGCTGGGGACACAGCAGGGACTAAGACAGCCCGGCTCTGCCCTCCTCGGGTCTCAGCACAGCGTGGGAGACAGATTAGGTCCAGACTGATGATTCAGATGGGCTGGGATGGGGGGGCTCCAGTGAGGACACCTGACCTGGCCTGGGGATCAGGGAGGGCTTCCTGGAGGAGGGAGCACACAGAGCTCATATGTGAAAGATGGGATACCTGGAGAAGCTGGTAGGCGTGGGAGAAGGGACAGGAAATTCGAGGCAGGGCCTGGTAGAGCATGGCAAGAAAGCCAGAATTTCCCTGAGGGCACAGGGAGCCACAGGATGGTGTTGACCTGGGGAGGGCAGCATCAGGTTTGTGCTTAGACCCCACTAGCTGCTGTTCAGGTGGGAGAGGAGACAGGAAGTGGAGAGTCGGGTTGGGGAGGAGAGGCGTGACTGGCGAAAGTTCCAACGCCCAGCAGGTGCTGGGGAGGGCGGAGAAGGGGGTGATGTGGCCTCACCCGGGAGACAAAGTCCTGCTCCAGCTTCTCCATCAGCAGGTCTGCCGGCTTCTGCTCGTAGGCCTTGTAGGTCTCCAGGTACCGCCCGGCCTCCTCGGGGCTGGGGGAGAGGACATTCGGGTCAGCCAGGGTGGGGTGGGGTCATGTTTTACATTCATTTCGTTATGGTGGTAGTACCTGCTGATTTCAAACCAATATATAGAAAAATGAACAGCCCTAGCCAGTTTGGCACAGTGGATAGAGCATCGCCATGCGGACTGAAGGGTCCCAGGTTCCATTCTGGTCAAGGACAAATGCCCAGGTTACAGGCTCCATCACAAGTAGGGGGCGTACAGGAGGCAGCCAATCATTGATTCTCATCACTGATGTTTCCATCGCTCTCTCCCTCCCCCTTCCTCTCTGAAGTCAACAAAAGTATTTTTTTTTTTTTTAAGTGAACATTCTCAGTCTCCTCGAAATGCTCCCTGGGTATTTTATGTATGTTTTCAGGCTAAAGACCAGAGCTTGGGACACTGACCAGTTGGGTTCAGGACTCATTTCCCACATGAGTGACCCTGAGCCAGTGATTTTAACCTCTCTGGGCCTCAGTTTCCTCGTCTGTCAAGTGGGCTGCTGGCAGAACGGTGACAGTTAAATGAATCACCGTTCTGTCAGGGCCTGGCGTGGAAGCCTGTTTAGGAACTGTCAGCTATTTTGGAGGGGACGCCAGTGCCCGCATCCTCTGCTCTGGGTTTGAGAGCAGAACCAATAGTTTATTTTCTCAACCACAGGAGCATTCAAAGTTCCTATAAAGCCCACCTCCTGGCTGGATCTTCCTGATATGAAGGTATGGTTCGATCCTCAATCAGGGCACATATAAGAAGTAACCAATGCATGCATAAATAAATGAAACAACATATCAAAGTTTCTCCCCCCCCCCCCTTTCTCTCTAAATTCAATCAATCAATCCATTAAAAAATAATAATAAAGCCCACCTTCAAAAGAAAAGCTCAGACTGGCCGACATGGCTCTGATTATGCTGTCAATCTACAAACCAAGAGTCACGGTTCAATTCCCGGTCAGGGCACATGCCCAGACTGTGGGCTCCATTCCCAGTGGGGGTATGCAGGAGGCAGCTGATCAGTGATTCTCATCATTGATCCTTCTATCTCTCTCCCTTTCTCTCATCTCAATAAAAATATATATAAAGAAAAGAATAAAAATATATATAAAGAATAAAAATAAGGATAAAAAGAAAAAAATAAGAATAAAAAGAATAAAAAATATATATATAAAGAATAAAAATATATATAAAGAACTCAGTGCTAACTGCTGAATCCTTTATAGCAATAAACATGATTTAAAAATCACCATTAATTTTGATATTAGGCCCAGTTTTTGTGACATGTAATTAACTGTTTAAACAGTGGAAACAGCTAAATCATAAAAAGGGTCTATATATGCTGGCCTTTTTCCTCTGGAAATTGAGACTAATGAACTGAGTCGAAGTAAATAAAAGCATTTTTTAAAAATATTTTTATTGCGCCGGGACCAGTTTGGCTCAATGGATAGAGCATAGGCTTGGGGACTGAAGGGTCCCGGGTTCAATTCCGGTCAAGGGCATGTATCTTGTTTGCGGGCACATCCCCAGTAGGGGGTATGCAAGAGTCAGCTGATCGATGACTCTCTCATCGATGTTTCTAGCTCTCTGTCTCTCCCTTCCTCTCTGTATAAAATCAATAAAATATATATTTTTAAAAATTTTAAATTATTTTTATTGATTTTCCACAGAGTGGAAGGGATAGGGATAGAAAGCTAGAAACGTTGATGAGAGAGAAACATCGACCAGCCGCCTCCTGCACACCCCCTATTGGGGATGTGCCTGCAACCAATGTACATGCCCTTGACCGGAATCGAACCTGGGACCTTTCAGTCCACAGACCGATGCTCTATCCACTGAGCAAACCGGTTTTGGCAAAAGTGTTTTTCTTTTTTTTAAAATATATTTTATTGATATTTTACAGAGAGGAAGACAGAGGGATAGAAAGTTAGAAACATCGATGAGAGTCATCGATCAGCTGCCTCTTGTACACCCCCTACCAGGGATGTGCCCGCAACCAAGGTACATGCCCTTGACTGGAATTGAACCCGGGACCTTTCAGTCCGCAGGCCAACGCTCTATCCACTGAGTCAAACCTGTCTCGGCTATTTTATTGATTTTTTTACAGAGAGGAACGGAGAGGGATGGAAAGTTAGAAACATTGATGAAAGAGAAACATCGATCCACTGCCTCCTGCACATCCCCTACTGGGGATGTGCCCGCAACCAAGGTACATGCCCTTGACCGGAATCGAACCCGGGACCCTTCAGTCCACAGGCGACGCTCTACCCACTGAGCCAAACCAGCTAGGGCTGTCTTGCATTTTCTTAGCCTTCAAAATCCAGCTGGCAAAAAATGTTTGTTGATTCAATGTTGGTTGCATTTTTTATTACATTCTTGAAAGAAACATTCATTTTTCTGATTCTGTTGTTTTCCATAAAAGGGGCTGCAGCTCTTCTCTCCATGCAGCAGGTGTTATTATTACTATAATGCCATTTGCTCAGGACACACAGGTTAGCACCCCGGATCCAGTTGTGTAACTTGCTTTCATTTCTGCATTCTGCACTATACCCAGCACACCCTTCCACGTCAGAAGACGGAGCTCAGTCTCGTTTGTGAAATGGCTGCACCACAGCCCCTGGGCCTCGCTGTGTGCCAGTCACTGGCGTACGCCCATTAGTACGCCCATTACAGTCAGAAGCTTTTGGACCGCCCGGAGAGATCCCGTCAGGGCCGAGACCCTTGTCCAGGTTACCGGCTGGCAAGGAGGAGACTCCCTCAGGGGGCGGGGCCGCCGCCAGGCTCTGTACTCTGCTACTTCCCCATAACTTGATTTTTATACTTGCTTTTGTTTTAATATACAACTAATACATAAGTATATTTTCCCCAAATAAACAGTTTAGAGGTACATACCCAGAGGGAAGGCACAGAGTTACAAATATCCTTTGGCCTAAAAAGCCCATTCCCGGGATTCAGGACAGAAGTGGGAGTGCTGGGGGTAACAGCGAAAGACAGAGACCAACAGGGGGCTGGCCTGTTCCATCTACACAAGGGAGTAGCTTAACAGCTGGAGAAGAACGTGGATCCAGACAAGGAGCTGTTATTCAGTGATTAAACCAAGTGACCGCCCTAGCCGGTTGCTCAGTGGTTAGAGTGTCCACCTGCAGACTGAAGGATCCCGGGTTCAATTCCAGTCAAAGGCAGGTACCTCGGCGGCAGGCTTGGTCCCTGGCACCAGTCAGGGAGCGTGCAGGAGGCAACCCATTGGTGTGTCTCTTTCACACTGATGCTTCTCTGTGTTTCTCCCCCTCCCTCCCATTCTCTCTAAAAAAAAAATCAATGGAAAAAATATCCTCGGGTGAGGATTAGCAACAAAAACAAAGAAAGTGAGTTCCCAAGTCACGAAAAGACATGGAGGAACCTTCCAAGCTCAGTGGAAAGAGCCAACCTGAAGAGGCTGTGAGATAACACAGAATCTAGGCTGGTGCTGCCCTCGGCCCCTGGCACAGCCGCCGGCCCCTGAAAGTGTGTAAGTGCCGAGAGCACCGGCGCGTCTTCGTTCTGGTGAGGGGCTCTCGGTGGGCTCCAAGAGGGGGCCGGTCCCCCAAGAGCAAGCCATGATTAGAAACCTGGAAGTTTCGGCTCCACCCCAGCCCCACCTCCAGGGACGAGAGGGGCTGGATGGGAGTTAATCATTGATCAGGCCAACGAGGTGAAGGAGCTGCCTTCCTCTCAGAAGAACGGGGTTCAGGGCGTCCGGGTTGTGAACACATCCACCCAGCGTGACTCACTCCGCTCCCCGGGCACAGACAGTCCTGCCCGGGCTCCTCCCCGCCGCGCCCTCAGAGTCCTCCCCTGGCTGTGCGTCTGTCCTTCAGTAACCGGTAAACACCCGGCGGGTGTCTGTCCTTCAGTAACCGGTAAACAGCCCGGTGGGTGTCTGTCCTTCAGTAACCAGTAAACAGCCCGGTGGGTGTCTGTCCTTCAGTAACCAGTAAACAGCCCGGTAAACAGCCCGGTGAGTGTCTGTCCTTCAGTGACCGGTAAACAGCCGGCGGGCGTCTCCGCTGTGGAGCTCACCCTGAGCACCGAAGGTGCGGGCTCCGCTCCTAGGCAGGCCTTGGTTTCAGCCGGATCCCCAGTCGGGGTGCGTACGGGAGGCAGCCGATCAATGTTTCTCTCCCACCCCCACTCCCCACTCTATAAAATCAATTAAAAAACACATCCACGGATAAGGATTAAATTAAAAAATAACTCATGAACATAAGTCAGTGCTCCCGGAGTTCAATGAGCGTCTCCAGGGCGTGGCCCCCAACAGCCGCCGGGTCAGAAGCACAGGTGCCGGCTGCCGCGCCCGGAGTGTGTGGGATCTGCCGTCCCCAGACAGACAGCGCCACGACTGAGTGACACTGTAGGAAACCCAGTGGGCACCGCAGAGGACTGCCTGGTGTGGGGGAAACCCCGCAGTGAGTGGCCCGAAGTGGTGTGCTTTGTGAGCAGAGAAGGAGACACAGGATAAAGACCCACGGTGAGGCCGAAACCGGTTTGGCTCAGCGGTGGAGTGTCAGCCTGCGGACTGAAAGGTCCCAGGTTCGATTCCGGTCAAGGGCATGTACATTGGTTGCGGGCACATCCCCAGTAGGGGGTGTGCAGGAGGCAGCTGGTCGATGTTACTCTCATCGATATTTCTAGCTCTCTCCCTTCCTCTCTGTAAAAAATCAATAAAATATATTAATAATAATAATTTAAAAAAGACCCACAGTGAGGAAGAACAGGGTTCTCCCCGCACAGGAAGGCCTGGGCTCTCCCCATTTCAGCGGTAACAGTCTGATTCCAGGGGGACCTTCTGGAAAAGGCAAACCATGGAGACAAAGGTGACAAAGAGCAGTGGTTCCCGGGCGTAGGGATGACCAGGAGAGCACAGGGACTTTAGGACAATGAAACTATTCTGTAAGCTTCTGCCCCACCCCACCCAACAGAGACAGAGAGGAGCTGGAAATGGAGTTAGTCATGGATGCAGG